GACAACAGACCCCAACACAAGAGCCATTTGCACAACCAGCACCAGTGTGTTGTTGTCCCTTCTCTACCCATGTCCATGTCATTTTTTGGGTGTGCAATTGTTTGGGGCGCAGTTGTAGTTATAACTATAAGTGTGACATATATATATATTGCACCATAGTAATGATATGTAGGCCGCCTTATGTTTGGGGCCCATATCCCAACTTCTGGGGTTTCTCAGGTCCCATGTGGGCCTTCTCCCTCGAAGATTTGCTGCGGCCTGTATGGTACAGCGCTTGGGGGGCATATGGAGAGGATCATTGAAAACCTCATGTTTCCATGAACAAATTGGTTTTCAATGGGTTTCACCTATTTTCAATGAACGTCCCATAAACAATGAAGGATAGTCATTTACATCCATAAACAAATAAGGATACTATATAAACAACTACTTTGAACTTGGGGTATGTATGGGACGTTTTGAAACAAATTCGAACTCCCTGAAGGAACGAACAATTTGTTCTGATCTCACCCGGCAATCTTTAAATGTCCCATCCTTGATGTTCCTACTGACCTACTGTGGCCAGCATGAAGATTTTCCTTGGCAGGATAGATCACCGAATAATTTGAAGGACGTGATATCTAGATATCTCTAGCAGTATTACCCATGGTCACCCTACGATTCAGTGGCGAAGTCGGTTTGTAGGAGTGCTGCTGGGTTCTTTCTCCAAGGTCCGCTTTCGCTTAGTGCTGGGTCCTGAGGATCTTCATTGATGTCAGGTCCAGATTCATTTTGAGCCTGGTTGATTGAGGACCAGGAGATGTAAGCCCCAGAGAGTATATATAAATATATATATATATATATACGTGATATTCAAACGGAATCCAGAAGAAATCACAACAGATTGTAGGAAGAGTTTCCGTTCGACAAGCTTTGATTTAGACCATTGAACCATGGCACAATTTCTGGTTGTTCTTCGCGATCTAGATCACTGAGTAGACAGCTTCAGAGCTGATACTGCTGTGTGAAACTGTTTCGGCGCACCAATGTTTACTTCCTTGCATTTTCCTGCTCCGTCGACCTAAGCCTCATACCTGACACTGGAAACGAACACTTTGCCATGATTCACCTGACATGGCAAAACTGACAGAGGCAAGCATTTTTTGCATATGGGTTTGTCTGATAATTGAGTACCCCCAATTCCAATTTTGATAATTTCCATTAGAATTACCATGTGGAGGGTATACCCCATTGTCAGACAAACCCATATTAAAATCACTTCTGCACGTTGTTGTTAGCATTGGCAGCACCATCCAACACTGAATCTAGAATCTAGAAGAATGATGGTGAGGCAAAGCACAAATCATAGCTTTGGAGCCCTAAGAACTGACTGACTATCAGGAATCTAAACCCCAAACAATGAACCATCCCCAATAGCACCAGAAATGAATATATAAACCCTATGAAACTGGGAGCTCATTCTTGGGGAAATATATTATATATTTTCAAAGTGATGTTGGCGCATGCCAGCCAATGACTGATGATGATGAAAACTGGCTGACCCTTGTCGAAGTGTCCTTTCGCAGTTCCAGACGAGGAGTCGCGTGTTGTGGTTTTGTTGCTGTGATTTCTCCAGACATGTTCAAGAACACACAGTTGGGAATGGGTCGAAACCTCTGATACATTCTGGCATCATATTTGGGGGGATGAACCTTTACTGGTTGGTGGTTTGGAACATTTTTTTTTCCCCACCTGCCAGGTGAGGGTTGTTAGATTTTATCAGAGTTGTTCTCCTCCCTCCTCCTCCTCCTTCCTCCTCCGTCTCCTCCTCCGCGTCCTCCTCCTCTTCTGCCACCTCTGCCTCCACTGCCTCCACTTCCACGTCCACTGTTGCCTTGCCAACTCTTGGCCAAGCTCTTCGCCAACTTCGGAGCTCAGTGCGCACTGCTGGACCTCAACCTGGGACCTTCCCAGCTCAGTGCGCACCGCTGGACCTCAACCTGGGACCTTCCTAGCTCAGTGCGCACCGCTGGACCACAACCTGGGACCTGCCGAGCTCAGTGCGCACCGCTGGACCTCAACCTGGGGCCTTCCGAGCTCAGTGCGGGCCGCTGGACCTCACAAGCCAGATAGACTGCCAGAAGATATGCCAGATAGAATGTCAGATAGAATGCGAGAAGATACGCCAGATAAAATGCCATAAGATTTGCCAGATGATATGCCAGAAGATATGCCAGATAGAATGCCAGAAGATATGCCAGATAGAACGCCAGATAGAATGTCAGAAAGAATGCCAGAAGATATGCCAGATAAACTGCCAGAATGTTTGCCAGATAGGATGCCAGAAGATATGCCAGATAGAATGCCAGAAGGTATGCCAGATAGAATGTCAGATAGAATGCCAGAAGGTATGCCAGATAAAGTGCCAGAATTGCCAGCACGTATGCCAGAAGATTTGCCAGATAGAATGTCAGAAGATATGCCAGAAGATATGCCAGATAGAGTGCCAGAAGATATGCCAGATAAAATGCCAGAAGATATGCCAGATAGAATGCCCGAAGGTATGCCAGATAGATTGCCAGCACATATGCTTGCCAGAAGATTTGCCAGATAGAATGCCAGATAGAATGTCAGAAGATATGCCAGAAGATATGCCAGATAGAGTGACAGAAGATATGCCAGAACATATTGCAGAAGATATGCCAGGTAGAATGCCAGAAGATATGCCAGATAGAATGCCAGAAGATATGCCAGATAAAATACCAAAAGATATGTCAGATAGAATGCCAGAACATTTGCCAGTAACAAAACGTATAGATGTCATGGTGGGGATAACTCGAAGTAAAGTAATTTTCCATAATATATGGATAATCCTTCCCATTGACTAATATTTTTCAAGATGGTTAAAACCACCGACCAGATATTTATCGACGATTTGTGGGGCTGGATGTCATTCTGATTCAAAACCCGTGACATCTCCAGGTATTTGTTGAAAAAGCGTGACCCCCTTGTGGGGGTCCTCCCAAAGTGCCAAGCAAGACCAGCAGGTCCTTGAGCATATCGACATGGCGAGTTGTAAACTCATTTTATGTAAGAACATAGGACATGCACACAATTGTGTATACATACAGAATCATTATGTATATATACATATAGTCTACATGCTTATATATATATTACGTCTACTGTGTTTATTATATAATATATATATATATATTAAAGATTATCTATTATATATATATAATATATATAATATCATAATATATATATATGATGTCATATATATATGATGTCATATAAGTAACATTAGGTGCTTAAGTCAATACACATCACCATTGGACTATCGGGTCCCCTATCCCCATTGTTGGGTCAATTCCCAGTCTAGTGCCTCCGAAAGCGTGGTTCCATCCCCATCAAATAACATGATACTATGATATTGTACAATATAATGATTGATCATGAATAATATACATATATACATATAACATATGTTCTTACATCATTGTTCAGACTATTCAATAGCATGTGATAATATATACAGTATATATATATATATACACATACGTGTATCATATATATATATTGTATCCATCATTAACACATCCTAAAGCACGCCTCAGTAGGACTGGTGGGCCCGGAACACTGGAAGTCGGTGGTGCCCGTGGTGGGCCGCCGCTACCCCGATGAACTCTACAGCTTCGTGCGCGGCTGCGGGCTGTTGGGCAGCAGCGTCCGCGCAGACACCGAGGTGGGCTCTGTATAATGTGTATTTATTAAATATACTACCAGTTGTAAGTTATATGGGTATATAATGGTATATACATATACGTCATATATATATATATATATATGGACATGTAGAAGGGTCAAAACAACTTTAGTAGATTGGGGGATTGAAACAACCAAAAGGGGATTCTACAAACTGAACCGGATCTTCAAGGAACAACAAAAGGTGCGATCAAAACATATATCATTCCAGGTAAGCATGGATAGAAACAGCAGTGCCAAAATGGTTCCAAAGATGGAACATGATGGAGAACTGTCTAAGACTAAGAGGTCTATAATGGTCATGAGTTGTTTTTATCATCCGTCAGTTTTACCTGCGAAGCAGCTGAAATATAATGAACATATGTCAACATCCTTGCGGACTGTGTCATTGCACCCTTAAGAACTGGAAGATACTGGAAGGTTTGATGGAAGATACCGCAGTTAGCGAGGGACCATCAGAGAACCACATGATACCACATGTGATTAGACCTGGAAGTCTTGGAAGTCTGCTTGATCAACATGATCCAACCCGATCTTCACAAGGAGCAATTGCAGTAAAGTTGGAAGACTAGATGTAAACCCAATGTATTCTGTGGGCATCCTTTTCAAGTTTCAAGTAAACTGTGAGTTCCAGTTGATTTCCGTCGAAGTGGGTCACTGCGAGGCCAAGATTCAGGAGTTGCGAAGCTGCCCTGGGCAAGGAGCTCTTGGTTGATGACTTGGACCAGAGATGACTTGGTTGCCATACAGATCTATAGATCTTTTTATACGTTGGCAACGGTGATTGGATGTGTTTACTGTTTGGTGATGTAGATATGTTTAGATATGTTTATATATAGTTTTATTATTGGGAGATTAGATGACTTTGCTATATCTTTGTTTTTTTTTGTTTTGGGGGTGATTTTAGATGGCTTTACCGACCGGTTTACCAACGGCATGTTCCATTGAGATTTCAACTACCAGGTTACCAGGGGTTTCAACACGGCACGAAGTGATTTTGTAAATGGGTGCTGTACAGCATACATATTTAACATTATATAACCATATATAACCATATATAACCATATATATATATAATCACATATATATATATATGTAACTATATGGAACAACTATGACTATAGCATATACAAGCAACTGTTTAACATTGCCGTTTATGTCACCAGATATCAGCAACCAAAATTGTTCAAAATACACCCTATTTCAATGGCCATTCAATGGGGAAATTCATGATCCAACGGAATGGGAATAGCTTTGGATTTGACTCAGACAAAGCCAGACTACAAGTTGATGAATTTGATTTATAACTTACAACCCACATGTTTTTTTACAGATATATTAAGTATACCTCTAACTGAAACTATAGACATGAACATCAGTGCCCTACTTAGCTATCATAAATATTCATAAGTCATCATCAATCAGCTATAAATCCCATGAAATCTCCATAAATCAGCTATAAATCCCCATAAATCCCATAAAATCCCAGGAAATCAGCCATAAATTTACCTTTTTCCCATGGTTTCTCCAGCAAGGGGCCCGGGCAACCGGCGCAACCGGGCAACGACAGCCAGGATGGCAGCCCTTCCTGGCTTCCTTGCGTCCGAAGCCGGGGCTCTCGCACGAGAAAGCGCGCATCACGGATTTCCAAACGGAACAGGACCTGGAGTTGCTGATATCAATGGATTATTCAGCAACTCCAGTTTTTTGAGGATTTTAAATCTCCATTAAAATACCGGATGTTCCATAGATGTTCCCATGAAAATCTCCATTATTAATAAAGTAAACGAACATCCAGTATTTTAATGGAGATTTTCATGGGAACATCTATGGAACATATATGAAACATCGTTTTTATAATGACTGAAAAAATTGGCTTATTATTTGGTGATTTATGGGAATGGGATTATATTAGGATATGTCACGGGGTTAGAATGGAAACACCCATCACCCAGATTAACTTGGATTTGCTTCAGCTGATTTGGCTATGGTTCCCAATGTTTTAAAAAAAATACAACCCATCCACCATGGAGTTTTTACATGTTTTTCATTGGAACATGTTGGAAAATATTGATAATCCTGGATTTGTTGTTGATTATTGTTTATGTTACCAATGGGAATTCCACTATAGGGAACTCTATGGTCCCAATTAAGCAAATCTCGGAGGAGACCAACAGCTGTCGACGCATTGCGTACAAGCTGAATGATGAGAAATCAGGGATCCATGTCAGAATACAAGCGACTTGGCGCAAAGTGCGCAATTAGCGCTTAAATGGTGGTAATGACTACAATGGTAATGCAGCTTAAGTGATGACAGAATCAAATGTTGCAAATATGTTTTCTTGTTCTTGTGATGAATCTGTATATATTCTGTATATGTGGTATGCCCAAATCGAGACTTACCATGTTGCTTGTAGTTCGGAGACTAGACATGTTCCCCTGGAGGAGTTCCGTACGGGAGCACCATCGAGTTTTTTTTTTTAATCAGCCCGCGGGTGGTTTTGACTGGTGCAGTATGAGTACATCTTCATACTATATTATATCATATTATATCCAATAATGATATACTGTATATATACATATATATATACGCGTATATATATATATATATATTCACATTATATATATATATATATTCACATTATATGCCATTGTAAATGAATACTATATACACATTGTATAGAAACATAATCCCTTTTCCCTGCGGTTCGATCAAATACCCCCATGGAAACCCTGGTTAAGAAATTGATTTGTTGATTTGGGGTTCCCATAAGGGCAGTATTTTGATATTGTGGGAATGGTATTTCATGTATATATATAATATTACATATGCATATATACTATATTATGTGTATATATATATTATTATGTATATATTGTGTATTATTCATATATATAATATATATATATATATTATGTATATCATTAGGTTTGGATTATTCATAGCTAGCTAGGCCCTCAACATCATTTTTACAAATGAATCGTCGTAGGTGCTGTAATCAGAACTATCAGATCTATCATATATATATATGTACTGTATAGTCATCTCCAGAAAGATAGAAAAAAACAATTCAGCACTATTTCAATAGGGTTATTCCTTTCTTGTTAAGTTGTGGATATATATATAATATTCATGAGTTGGACGATAAGTTGGATAGAGCGAAGCAATCATATACATACATATATTATATATATACATACCAACGATGCTGCGATGATGATTTGTTTCAGTTGCTGAGGTGAATTTGCACTTGGCTTTCTCCATGATGCTTCAGGGGATCAGGCAGTCGTGGCGCATCCCAATTTTCTGGGCTTTCAAATATATGTGGCTTATGTGTTCAAAGATATACTTGGGATATATTGGGGATAGATTGGGGATGCATTTGGGATATTAATGTTTTAACCTATTATATATATATATATATGTATATATATACATATATATATATTATAATACAGATACATACACATTGGGATATTTGGGATCATGGTCCCCAATATCCTTTTTTTTAGGGGGGAACAATTTGCTGGAGAACTCCCTGAATGGATGGTTCGTGCTCGTGCAGGCCCTAACAAAAAGAAAAAACGGCTTTCATCCCCGCAAAAGTGCCACATGCATGAACGCTATGAAATTTCTACATGAAATGCATGATGTCAAAAGCAAGATTCCCCATTTGAGACGCTAAAAAGATACAGTAAGCGTTTGGTGATGTCAGGTACCCGGCCCTGGGCTATGAGGGCGACTGGCGCATCTGCAGCGCTCCAGCGGAGTTGCAGCCCTTGCTGTCGCGGCCCAACTTTCAGCTCTTGGACAACAAGTCGGAACCCAGGCACCTTGGATTGGCCATTAAAAAAAACGGGGTAGTTCAAGCATGAAGTTCTTAGGCATCATGAAACTATACAAATATCCATAATTCATGTATTATACATATTGAAGAAATGGAGTTTGGATTCATGGGAAATCCATACAGTATGACATGGTGCAGCTGCCGCTATCCTTTCGGTCCGAAGGGCCCTTGAGCCTTGTGAGAACTCTCACGAGGCTGCGTGACTTTGCAGGTGAAGGTAGAAACAGCGTGGTGCACTTTGCACATTCCCTTGCCGATTTATCATGGTAGCGTGAGCTGCGAGCTCCAGTGGCCTTGAGCTACAACCAGAAGAGGTACTTAACTGTACCCTTGGTGTGGCACCTGGTTTTTGGGTGCATACAATTGGACAGTCCTGTCCTTGGGTGTGTCATGGCAATGGACACACGTGATCCTTTCAAGGAACTGACCTTCGATGGCCGTCCTGGACAATACAGGGAATTCAGGCGAAAGGTGATTCTCAGTGTTGCCGCCTTAGAAGACAAACATCAGTATCTTGCTGGTCCCAAGCTACTTAGCAGGTTGTCTGGTGAAGCTTGGCGTTGCACTGAACATTTATCAATTGCAGATGTTCGCTCTGACCGTGGATGGTTAACTGTGCTGGAGTGTTTAGACAAGCACTACCGGCACTTACCTGAAGTTGAGCTGCACGAGTCAATTGATGATTTCTTATTTCACCTGAAGAAACGTCCACACGAAGGTACAACAGCTTTTTCTGCAAGGTTCAAGACAGCTTTGTCAAGGTTGGAAACATTGATTCATTCTGAACGGGAAGCTTCCAAAACAAAGAGACGCAAACGTGGTGATGACAAACGACGTCTTACACCTGCCTCTCCTGTTGAAAGCTCAGTGGAAGATTCATATGATTCTCCAGCCAACGGTTCTGAAGCTGCTGAACAAACTGATGACACAGAAGGAGATCCACCATCGGCACCAAGAGCCGAGCCAACTGAAACTGCCGCAGCAGGAACTCCTGGAACTGAAGAGCCTCAGGCTACCTCTAGCATGCCGAAGTCCGGATCCAAGCCAGCATCCGAGAAGAGCGCAAAGTCTGAGAAAAGTGGAAAAAGTTCCATGAAGTCTTCCAAGAAGCATTCAACTGGCACAGAAAAAGGTGATGCCGAGAAAGCTCAGATGGCTATGCGCCGTATGCTGGGTACACTGGAACCTTCTCATCGTAAGCCGAAGCCAATATTTCCTCAGTCTGTATTGGGTCATCTTTTCATGAGAAAGTTTGGACTGAACCGTGAACAGCGAGCCTTGGTGATTCGATCAACAGGTGGCAGTTCGAGATTTTTGGATGTCGAACGCATTCTCAGGGCTTCAGATTTGGAAGATCAACGCAGTGATGATCGCCGACTAGTCAAGCCTCAGTTGAAGCCTGGAAAAAGAGACGCCTTTGCTGTTCAGGAGAATGATCCCGAAAGCTCTTCAATAGAGATGCCCATGAGTGAATCTGATGAAAGTATTGGTGAAGTTTTTGCAGAAGAAGAAGAAGTCGTTGAAGACGAAAGTGAAAATGAGTTAGCAGAAGTATATGAAATACAGAAAAAGGCAAAACGTGACTTCAAGAAAAACTTCAAGACGTACAAGGAGACAAAGAAGAAAGTCAAAGAGTTGAAGAAGTCCCGTGTTGGTCCCTCATACTATCCAGTGGTTGCTGTGCCTCCCGATGGAGCTTCCTCTGCAGCTGGTAGTCAACAGACCAATGTCAAGCCTTTCAAAAGTGATCGCAAGGACCAATCCAGAAAGAAGGGTGATGGTCGTGGTTTCAAGCCATCCAGCCGTAAAGAAGATGCCAACTTTACCCAAGCTGAAATGGTTACCCAGTTCAACTACATGGTCACCGAAGTTGTTTCTGCGGTAGAAATGGAATCCTCATCCATGGACATGTTTTTGGCCTCCATCCCACAGGGTTATGCCATCATCGACACAGGTTGCACGACATCAGTCATTGGCCAGGAATCTGCAACAGGTATGATCAAGTTTTTTGAGGAGAACGGTTTTCCACGTCCTCGAAGTAACTATGCCTGCGGTGGAGCTGAAAGGTTTCAATGGCAAGACCGAGACCACCACTCAAGGTCTTAGATGGACTGTTTGCCTGGGGAATTTACAGGGTTGCATTACCACTTATGTTATTCCTGGAATGACCCCTTTCCTGTTGTCGAGACGGGTTTTAGAAGCCATGGAAGCAGTTCTGGATTTGAAACAAAGAACCATTTCAAGCAAGAAGCACGGGTTGGATCGTTTTCCACTACGTCAAGCCTCAAACTCCCTTTGTGTGTTCCCAAAGATGATTTGGAAGTCGCACAATGCGATCACGACACCGTCAATGAGCCCAATGAATCCGAAGTAGCGTCCACCGAGTGCCAGGACCAACTGCCGGGCGACCAGAAGCCCAAACATGACAAACATGTTGCCAAGTCACTCAAACATGTTGTGAGGAATAAGATAACCCCCATAGATAAGAAACGTGCGTTTCAGGGAATAGTGAAGAACACTAAGAATGGGGTAGTTGATGTGGGGCAACATGCAAAAGCCTTGTCGGTTGTTTTTGGTGTTCCGGAAGGACAAATAATCCATGCAGCTGTGGCCTATAAACCTCGTAAGGAAAGAATGCCAACAACTGCCAGCCAGGAAGCATATGATTGTTCCGTAGCCTCTCTCGAGCTTTGTGGAACCCTCAATGTTGCACCCTGGAGGATCAGACCACCTTCCCAAGATCGCCGTCCAGTTCATGCCATGAGTGTAGCAATTTTTGCTTTCAGATCGCCAGAGATGCCAAGCGAATCTGCCGAAGAACCAGCCATGCCAAGTTGTGACGAACCCGCATGCTTTTGTTGCAGCCAACATGATGAAATGGGTCCCCCAAGTAAGGGTATAGATATCCCCGTAGAATCTCTATATGAGGAAGTCAGTTGGGTGGAACTAGGTGAGCAAAAACCTCTTCCAGAGGACACAGCCAAAAGCCTGCTCAAGAGCATTGGGTCAGTCCGCAAAGCCAACTTGCGCATGACCCTGTCACGACTGGCCACCGAGCCCAATAAGGTGAAGGCCGAGCTGAAGCAATGGTTAGGTGATCAATCTCATGTCTTGGATAAAAAGGTGGGTCTTATAGAAGTGTTCACAGGCAAAGCCAAACTGTCAGAAGTCTTTGAGAAACAGACCGGACTTGTCAGCATCCGTCTCGGACTCCAGTTCGGCCAAGACTTCACCCGTTTGCATGACCGTAGATGCCTTTTGCTGCTGATAGCGTTTTGCAGACCACGACATGTGTGGTTCAGCTTTCCGTGCAAGCTTTGGGGTCCCTGGACTAGGATGAACCTCAACAAAAGCCATAGCACCTTTGAGAAGATCATGAGTGAACGAGCTGTTGCACGTCGCTATTTGCACAATGTATCAGAAGCCTGGAACCTCCAAATCTTGCTAGGTGGACATGCCCACGCAGAAAACCCTTTGGCATCTCAGGCATGGGCCGAGTTACAATTGGAAAATGCATGGGAAGTCCGCATAGATCAGTGTGCCTTGGGACTTCGATCACCGAAATCCGACCTGCCTGTTTTGAAACCGACCCGAATTGTAACCAGCGACGCCGCCCTGGCTGCTGGACTTGAGAGCTGTCGGTGTGATGGTCGGCATCAGCATGAGCACCTTGAGGGTACGTTCAAAGGTAGGAATTTGACCAGTTGGGCTGAATCATACCCCCTCAAGTTGTGTAAGCATGTAACCAAATACCTTTGTCAAGCTCTTGAACCATGTAGCAAGCATGAAAAACATGTTGAAGAGATCCTCGCCGAAAGCTTGGACGAGCTTGCAGAGATGGGAGATGATGCTAACTTGGAGGGCGTGCCTGAAGTTAACCAACAACTCAGCCTTGAAATGCAACGTGCAAGAGCACTGGTTCATAAGGTTCATGTGAACACTGGCCATTCTTCCCCAGAACAGCTTATGAGACTTGCCAACAGGTGCCAATCATCTGAAGCCGTCAAACAGGCAATCAAGGAATTCAAGTGCTCAGTGTGCGAAGAGATGAAATCCCCGCCACTGCATAGGAAAGCCGCCATCCAACATGCAGAGGGCCCGAACCACATTGTAGGAGTTGATTACGTTCAAGTTGAACTTCACCGTGAAGATGCATCCGGTAGGGTGAAAGAAATCAAACGCAATGTGCTCACTGCAGTTGACCTTGCCACTGATTTTTGCCAGCAGATCGTAGTGTCGCCAGGTCCGCATGGTTTGTCAAAGGCCTTCCACCAACTGTGGTCCAGACCATACGGTGTTCCCAAAGTGATCTACATGGACCCTGACCATAGGAACCTTTCCAGTGACTTTCAACGATACTTGGTCAGAAACAACATACAGTTGCTTCACAGTGGTGCTGAAAGCCATTGGCAATTAGGTCGTGTGGAGGTGGCGAACAGAATCCTTAGAGATATGGCCCAACGTGTCTGGAGAGCATGTCCCGACGCCTCACCAGAAGAAGTGATTGAGTCATGTTGCACAGTCCGAAATGAACAGCTTAGGAAACATGGTTTTTCTCCTGCCCAGTGGTTTCTAGGACGTGAGTCACGTCATGCTGGAGCCTTGTCCGATGTCATGGAACAAAACAATCCAGTTTCCCAAAGCCAAGTCCTTGATGATCCCAGTTTTGCAGCTAGGATTAGAATGAGGGATGAAGCCTCCAAAGCGTTCATAGAGGAGCATGCAAGAGACACATGGCGCCGTGCCATAGCCGGACGCAACAGACCAATGAGAGGGCCATACGTTCAAGGTCAGCAGGTTTACATGTTCAGAAAACAAGGAAAAGGAATGCTAGCCACACGTCATGGAGCATGGATAGGTCCCGGTAGAATCATAGGAACTGAAAGCTCAACAAATAATGTTGTACCGAGACTGGTGTGGGTGTCCTACAACGGTTACATGTACCGTTGCTCTCCTGAAGGCCTCAGACCACTTCCTGCGGATGAAGCTGCATTCCGTGAACTCACAAAAGAACTTGCTGTTGGCCAATTGGCCCCCGACATGGAGCGTGCAGATGATCAGCTGAAACGTCACTTTGGTTCATACATAGACTTGCTTCCCTCCAAACCTGAAGACCTAGACATGGAACTTGAAGATGATGTTGAAAGAGAACCTGAAGAGCCCGATCCACATGCGGAGGGCGGACCTAGAAAAATCAGGCGAAGGTTTTACAGGTCAGAAGAATACTGGAGAAAACGTGCAGCTGGTATGCCGCCATCAGGACCTTTGCAAGAAGGCCCACAGCCGCAAGTCATCCGAAACATGGATGAAATTCATGATGCCGAAGATCCGACGCCGCCTGAGGACTCTCATGTTGACAAAAGGCGTAGGGTGACGATAGATTCTGATGTTGAAGAACAAGAATATGAACCTTCCATAGGTGAAACTCCCACAGGTGATGTTCCTTCTCCCAACGTTGAAGATGTTATGGAAGATGCGCCGCCAGGCGAGTCAGAATCGGCAGTGCCACCCGAACAGGATCATGTCATGGAAGACTTGCAACGTGCTGTAGAAACACCTGTGCCGGATGGTGATGATGAAAGCCTTCATGTCACCGGCAAAACCTCTGGCCGAAGGGACGAAGTCCTTGAAGTGTCGCTGAATGTCATGCCAGAGGACATAACTGATGACCCACTGTGTCTCTGGGGAGTCTTAGATGAATGCTTGCAGGTCACTCCACATGCCAAACAACAAGCCAAGCAACGCCGTGTTGAAGTTTCCTTCAGAAAATTATCCCCCGAAGATAAAAAGTTGTTTGAGAAAGCAATGCAAAAAGAATGGAACTCTTGGATAGAAAACAAAGTTACTTCACTTTGCAAACGGAAGGGGATCCCAACTGAAAGAATTATCAAGGCTAGATGGGTACTTGTTTGGAAAAAGAGTAGTGATCCAGATGACCGCACTAAGACCCCAAAAGCTAGGTTGGTGTTGGTTGGGTGGCAAGACCCCGAACTAGGTCGCATAGCGACGGACTCACCAACTCTCCGCAAAGAGACAAAACACCTAATCCTCACCATATGTGCCTCCCGCCGTTGGAAAATCTGGGGAGCGGATATTAAGACTGCCTTTTTATCCGGTGACCCTGCAAAGCGTGACATATACTTCCAAGCCTCCAAATGAAATAAAGGAATGGATGAGTTTAGAAGAAGATGATTTATTTCGCTTGGAGAAGGCCGCTTACGGTCTTGCCGAAGCCCCTAGGGCATGGTTCTTGAGGTTGTCCCGTGAAATGGCTGCTGCCGGGTTGCAGGTGTCACAACTAGATCCTTGCCTCTATTCCCTCAAAAACGCCTCAGGGGAATTAGTTGGGGTATGTGGGGTACATGTTGATGATATAATAGGTGGTGGGACTGAAGAAATGGACAACGTGCTGTCAAAGATGAGACAAAAACTTCCTTTTGGAGACTACCGCACTTACACAATCAGATATACAGGGATAGAGATACGTCAAGACCCCCAAACTTTTGCCATAGAACTTGGACAAGAAGGGTATATTGACTCCCTAGAGCCTGTGCCGACCAAGCAGTATGGAAAGGCAGAAGACAATTTGCCCAATGCTTCCATCATGCGCACCTGCGCTGGTCAGCTTGCCTGGGTAGCAAATGCCACCAGACCGGATCAATCCTTCCTTGCCTCATTCCTCCAAGGGGTTCAAGATAAGGGGACAGTAGCTCACCTCCAAATGTATAACAAAGCTGTTAGGGAGATGAAAGAGCGAAAAGTTTGCCTGAGATTCCCATCAGGGATTCCTCTCAAAGACCTCCGAATCTTGTGCATAACAGATGCAGGCTGGGGAACGAGATCCAATGGTGAAAGCCAAGGTGGGTACGTTTTGTGCCTCACAGTTCCAAAAATGTTTGAAAGAGTGCGAGCTCCATGCTGGGTAGTTGACTGGCAAAGCAAGAAACTTCGCCGGGTCGTGAGATCCTCCGTTGCAGCCGAAACCCTTGCGGGACAAAATGGCCTTGATGCAATTGAGGCATTCCAAGCCTTTATGCTGGAGACAATTCAAGGGATAACACCAAAGCAGTTCAGAGAGATGACCCCTGAAAATCCAGCAGGTTTAGTCTTGGACAGCAAAGGTTTTTATGATGCTGTTACCCGAAGTTGCTGCAGCCAAGCCATTAGCCAGGAACGCCGTCTTCAAATCGACTATTCAATTGCAAAAGAAACCACCATCAAGCAGAACATACTTTTGTTTTGGGTGAATAACTTGCGAATGAGTGCTGATTGTTTGACGAAGTTGAAGGGTGACACAAAACCACTCTTCGAAATCTTGGAGCAATGCTCATACGAAATAACCATGAGCACCCAGTCAGGGAAGAAAGAAAAGAAAGAACAAATGTCACCAGAATAGAGTCAACCAATGGGCCAAAACCTTTTTGCTTGTATAGTGCCAGCGAAGCTTTCCCACTTGTTGCCATGCCATGAACCGGTAATAAACCGTGGGGGTAATAAGTTATGTCATAGACATAAACAAATGGGGAATAACCTGGTCCCTAAGTTTTAGCCTGAGAACGTTTGTATAGGAACATGTTCGCTCTTGCACTGGACATCTGGTTGAGATGTCAACATGAGTGTGACAGAATGTTTTTGCTGTCTCCGGCAGCAACCACCAACTCAAGCCTGCGTTTTTGCATGAGCCAATCGTAGACCCTTTTTACCAGCCTTGCCATGTCCCAGCCGAATAAGAAGGCCGCGACCGCAGTGGAAGTGCCGCTCAATGATCATGAGATCAACCATGTGTGCGGATTGCTGCATAGAGCCATTTCCTTTGACCAAGGTCAGAAGGTGCTCAATGCCTTCCGTAACACGTTGACGCCGAAAGGTAACCATGTGCCGGCCATGTACATGCTGGGTGAAATGAAAAAGATGTATGAGACCGAGAAGGGGTACCTCAATGTGAACTCCACCATGTCTGACGCAAGCAAGCGTCGCCTTTCCGAGGATGCCAAGGAAGCCGAAGACGAAGCTTCGATCTCAGATTGGAGCACATGTGGATTTGAAGGACCTTCGAAGGTCGAGAATGCATGTTTGTTTGGAGCCCTGAAGCCTCCCACCGAGAAGCCCTATATGCTTCATGTTCACCGCCATATCAACCCTCCGGAGAAGAATATGACTTTCTCACTGTGGGGAAATTCGGTGTGCCAGATGCCGAAGGTGGCAGAATTGAAGCTGAGCTATTTGGAGCTCATCCAGTTGGCCTCAACGGACACAGAGATCAAAGAGTACTTGATGTGGGTGAAGAATAGATATGGAACCGAGAACACAGGAAATGCAAAAGGAAAGATCACCCCAGCAGTTGATCTTGCGATGTTCTTAGAAGCCGTGGACTGGAATGGAGATTCAATGGTGGAGAAGGGATCCATGACCTTTAGCCGCAAGCTGAAGGACTAGCCAAGCTGGAAAAGGAAAGAGGAAAAGCTGCAGCCTCCCATGGAGGGCGTGAAGAAATGGAGTTTGGATTCATGGGAAATCCATACAGTATGACATGGTGCAGCTGCCGCTATCCTTTCGGTCCGAAGGGCCCTTGAGCCTTGTGAGAACTCTCACGAGGCTGCGTGACTTTGCAGGTGAAGGTAGAAACAGCGTGGTGCACTTTGCACATTCCCTTGCCGATTTATCACATATACATATATAATGTACACATTCTATTTGTAGAGCGATATACATCTATGCAGCTATAAGGTAGTTGTCTACTATGTTTGTACATATTTTGCCCGAAGATCAAGAGCAATGCTAACGTAGTCACCATCGGAAATGTGGGTTTGTTTTTCCTGAGTATGGCAACAATTGGGATTGTGTATAAGGAACCCCAACCAGTTTGTTGTTGGATGTGTTTTGTTTTTGGGTGTGCTTGTACTTTGCTTGTTTTTGCCTGAAGCTACTGAAGCTGAATGTGCAACAAACATCCAATTTGAGACCTTGTAATTTTCCCATTTTGTATTTGTCGTGTTGTTTTAACAATTCCCCAGTAACAAAGTCCATCAATGGCGAGGGCTCCGTGCGGCTTGAGGCATGCGCAGCCAAAGTTGCTGCATCAGTTGCGCCCTGAGCAATTGAGATCTTTGTATTGGATGGTACAGCAGGACCATGCCGATCATCTTTTTAAAGACTTGGCTATGTTACCAAGAAGAATCATGAAGAATGATGGTTTAATGGTGGTTTATTGATGATGAATCCCCAATATATAATGGTGGTTTATTTTGGCGAATTTGATGATGAATCAGTGGATTGATTTAGGGCCTATGGAATCAGACGGCCAGCATGGTGGGACACAGTGAATTGTGATCCTCTAGATGCCAGAATTGGATGAAGCAAACATGTGGCAAGAATTAGCAGTTACATGATAATACAAGATTCCTCTTAACTGGGTTGAATCACATGGGTTGCCGATTCAGCCAGGAAGAGAACTGCATTCTGACCATGATCTACCGCTGCTATTGGCAAAGGTTCCGTCCGGACGAGGTGCTGAAAAGTTGACGACTGATTTGGGGCTTACCAGATATCATTCATATTACCATTCTAGATAAGTGTAGATATATCTGTCATAAACCATATAATTCACCATTTGTTGTTGGTTAAATCCCAATGAACCACCATAAAATCAGTTGTATTCATGTGTCATCTCCATTAAATATACATCAACTCACCATTTTTCTTGCTTAGATATTGTAACTTTCCTAGAGTTTACCATAAATTCACCATAGTTTCCATTAGTCACCAGAAATTCACCATAAAGACAGCACCACTGATCCCGACAGGCGGCCCCCAAGAGCTTAGCGGTAGACTGGACCTTGGACTGTCGCGTGATTGCCTCCTTTGGGGCCCATGGCGGCGTGCTGGCAGATGAAACACCTGGGCAACGGACGGTTTTTTTTGAGGGCGACCTGGGATGTGGCTGGGTTTTTATGGGTTTTTATCCCGGCTAGATACTGTAGGAGTAACCAGAGGATTTCATGGGATATTAGCCAGCAAATGGGATTTAAATGGATTTAATAGGATATGGATTGGATATGGAGGTTTCCGAAGTGGTCATGGGTCAAAAGCCTGGTATTCGGATGATACCCTAAATATCCCTAAGGCATAGTTGGTACAGTTGGATGGTGATTCCTCAGTCATATGGTAATTTCATATGTTTTGACCCATCAAAGGAAGTTAGTTAGAAAACTTCCGAGTTCCAGACGATTGTCATGGGTAGCATTCCCATCATCATGTCAACCACATCATGATGTCAACCACCCATCATCAAGTGGAAGCGTGTGAATTCCCAGGTGAAAACACTCTCGGGGGCGAAACCCTGTGTTTTTCCGGGTAAAGTTGCTTCCGGGGTCGCCGAAGTAGGGCTCTGTTTCGCGGGCCTCTGTGTGGTCTCTGCTTCCGCGGGGGGCAGGCCTCGATGCGCACAGGACTGTAGCGAGAGCTCGGTTTGCGCTTCAACATGTTCAAAACTCGAGGTGTTCGCAGCACTTTTGGAAGATGAGGTCGGTAAAATGTGCACCAGACTGCAGCAAGAGCACGATTTCATATAAATATCGTAAAAAACCTTTGTTTGGAGCAGCCCCGAATTTGTTTGGTCGAGTCCCCCTTGGCAACGCTGAAACGCATTGGCGCGGCTGCGCGCAGCAAAGCATGAGTGATGCTGCGACGCTCTAGCAGGATTGCAGCTGGAGGGTGCTAAATGCAGTGTGTAACAGCTGCGCGAAAGGTAATAGGCAGTTCTTGACCATAGTGCAGTGCTGCTCTTGTGCTTTGCGGGATTGCAGCTGGAGGTGTTTAAACGGATTGTACCAGCTGCGCAAACAGAAGAGAAGAGCTGCTCAGAGAAGAAGTAGCTGAGAGAAGATGTGCCTCAGCGAAGAGGTCCCTCAGTGAAGAAGTAGCTCAACAAAGAAAAATAGCTCACTCATCTATCCATCCATCCATCCACCCATCCTTAAATTCATTCGTTCGTTCATTTGCTGATTCAGCGATTCATGGGTTTATTGGCTCACTGTGGTTCATTGATTCATTAGTTCATTGATTCACTGATTCATTGCTTCATTACTTCATTTATTCACTGATTCATTGCTTCATTGGTTCGTTGAGTCATTGCTTCATTGCTTCGTTGCTTCGTTGATCCTTTGGTTCGTTGATTCGCTGATTCATTGACTCACTGATTCATTGATTCACTGTTTCATTGATTCGTAGATTCATTGATTCACTGATTGCTTGGTTCATTGATTCATTCACTCTGCTGTGCATGGATTCTTTCAAATTATTTCGTTGGCATTTCAACAGCCATGTGCTTATTTTTGTTGATGCATCCCACAACTTCAGCACTTTGTTGCCTCTGCATCTTTAGAGACTTTCCTATAGGCCAGTTTCTTCCTGTAGTTGTTTCAATTTTCGAAAGTGATTGTAACTGTAGATGATTATAGATTGATACAGATTGATATTTGTTTGGGATGTGCATGTGTATATACAACATTTTTTATATAACATTTTTGAACCTTATTGATATATACCGTCTGTCCATTGGCATATACAAATTTAATCTACATACATTTTCATATCACATCATTTTTCGTTTAAGGGAACTTTTCCGGGGAACCCTCATTGGCGCGGGTAAAAAGAGAACATGGTTGTTGGCAATTTTCCTTGAAACCCATCCATGGATTTTTGGCAATTTTGACATATGGATATCCAACACTAGTTTAGTCTAAAACAAATTTTGGTGCATTCATACCTTCTCCGGTAGTTTCAATAGACATGGTAATGTATATATATATATACATATTTACATATATATATATATAAACTAAAAAATGCCCGGAGGATGAATGTGTTAGATAGATATGAAAAATATGTTGTCATGTTTTTCAACAAGTATAGAATATGGTTACCTTTATGGATGCAATCTACAAAGCTGATCTGTAGGTCTGATCCGTTGTTGATGTCATTGTCGATGATCGAGTATTCAGGATCGACCGTGTTCGTGATACGCAGTTGCTAAGTCAGAGGATCTCCTCATTTTTTCGTCCACCTGAATTTTATCTGTTATCATTTATCATGAATTAATCAACCTGCAAAAAACAATATATATATATATGTAGTTGATACAACCATTCTGAGTGGATAAAACCATGGGTTATCTCACAATATCCAACAATCTAATTTTTTGGCATCTAATCTTTTGATCCCAGGATGGGCTATGGCAAGACGGTCTTAGCTATTGCTTTGCATGATGTTCGACAGGACCCAGGGCTGGGTCAGGGCTGGGTTTTCCAGCATGGAACATCAACAATCCCCCACCTCCAAACCTCCAAGCTGCTGGAAGTTATAGGGATTCCAAACCATTGTTGGGGCCTTTTTGGGGGGCCGAGTATGGTCGACTCTGTAGGAGGGTGAATATTTGGAAGTACCAGAGGTGGAGGCTTTGACCAGCTTCCAATCTCCAGCCACCTTGATCTGCATCCCTCCACATCTTCATGCACAGTGGCAGCAAGAGATCAAAAAGTTCACCGGGAACACGTACAAGGCCAGGGTGCTGGGCAGCCATGCAGAGGGGAGGTCCATAGTTCGATCTGCGAGACTTAGTTGGCAAGTGGATCCAAGTGGGTAATAACCATATTGTGACCCAATTATATAATATCATGGTATGTCATTGTCAAAATTGGGTAATTTCGTTATTTTTTTGGTGACGGTCATCAATGCATGAGCAGGAATTCATATACCCACTATGCGATGGACAATGGGGTTAGCGACATACCCTATATGTTTTGACCAGGGCACATATTTGGAATTTTACGGGTGCCGATTCTACATAACAGCAGCGCTGAGGTGTTGGACCTCTCCAAGAAGGCAGACTTGCAGAAGAGCACAGTGAGGAGCCAACTTGGATGAATCCGTATAAACATCTGGAGAAATGGATCCATGGAACTTGATCAGTTGAATCGGTTGAATACATCCTTTGATGACCATAGAACATAACTCAAGATATCGATGGAGGTTTTGCAACTACCCCCACATGGTACCTGGTTGAGTACTTGATTACATATATATATATTGCTCGAAATCTTCAATATCAGAAAAACAGAACTATTTGGTTGATTGAGTTCCCCCCACATTTCATGTTTGTTTCTTGTTGGGGCCTGCTACCCCCTGTTTTGAGCCGACGTTCCGGAGGAGCTTCCTGGAAGCTGACCTGGTCCTCTGCAACTACGAGCTCTTGCGATCCATGGCCTACATCCAGCGCCGCGCCCACTTGGCACATCTGGTGTGTCCAGATCAGGTCCCTCTGTCCGAAGGGGGAGTGGAACGAGTGGAGGTCATTCACATCTGGTGAAAAAAAGGGAATAACATGGGGAAATGCCACGGAAAATGGCAATTGAATGGCAGAGATGATGAGAAACCATCAGATTGGCTACTCCATGTAAACAAAAACCTACATGAAGATGATGATTTTTGCGGGGATGTAAACCACGCCGATGGATGATATGGAGTGAAAACAACTGGCTGAATAAATCATGACAACATTATAGTCATTTTAAGGGATGGAGCAATAGAGAACTGTTTCAACAAGTGGATGTTTTTTGTTTTTCTCACTATGGCACATAGCAGTCTCCTTTGTTCATGGTAGTGTACCGGGGTTTATGAAACACGTTCTTGTGGGTCGAAACCACCTTGGACATCAACATGGCTTTTGTATAGATGGATGTTCATCATCCTGCATTGTGGTGTATCTGGACATATTTTGAGCTATGTTGATTTGCAAAAAGCATCTTATTTCTAGAATCTGGTGTGTGATTTTGTGTTTGTCAGTTGGCGATCTCTTGCGAAGGATGTAAAAACAAGATCGAACGGATGTGACACAACTATATAAATATATGTGGCTGAACATACTTACATAACTTATATACTAGGATGATGCTTGCGACGGTGGATCCTTGTGGCCCAAAGATGGGCGGTTTGTGGTGTGAAACCATTCATAGATGTCTGAGCCACACCCCAGTCAAGCCACACCTCTGTGTAGGTTCCTTGTTTGAAACCTTATTTTTTCCTTAGTCATTGTTACATGTTTTGGGACATTGATCATGTTGACAAACAACATATCATATACCCTTATTTGAAAACCTTATTATGCCTTGTTTGTGGTGTCAACACCAGTAAGAGGCCATGCGCGTGTGGATATTTTGGGTGTGGGGGTGGGTGAGGGGTGGGGTGGGGTGGGATGTTAACGTTCATTGCCACTGCAACCACACAGTACGTTCTCTTGCACTTCCACACATACGTCATGCTATGCTGCTACACGTTCTCTTGCACTTCCACACATATGTCTTGCTACGCGGCTGCACCTTCTCTTGCACTTCCACACATACGTCTTGCTACGCTGCTGCACGTTCTCTTGCTTTTCCACACATACGTCATGCTATGCTGCTGCACTTTCTTTTGCACTTCCACACATACGTCATGCTACGCTGCTGCACGTTCTCTTGCACTTCCACACAAATGTCTTGCTACGCTGCTGCACGTTCTCTTGCACTTCCACACAAACGTCATGCTACGCTGCTGCACGTTCTCTTGCACTTCCACACATACGTCATGTTATGCTGCTGCACGTTCTCTTGCACTTCCACACATACGTCATCCTATGCTGCTGCACGTTCTCTTGCACCTCCACACATACGTCTTGCTACGCTGCTGCACGTTCTCTTGCTTTTCCACACAAACGTCATGCTACGCTGCTGCACGTTCTCTTGCACCTCCACACATACGTCATGCTATGCTGCTGCACGTTCTCTTGCACTTCCACACATACGTCATGCTATGCTGCTGCACGCTCTCTTGCACTTCCACACATACGTCTTGCTACGCTGCTGCACGTTCTCTTGCACCTCCACACAAACGTCATGCTACGCTGCTGCACGTTCTCTTGCACTTCCACAAACGTCATTCTAGGAGCGAGAACAGCTTTCCAATTTGATGGTTGCAAAGCACAGACTTTAGACAGACAGTGGGATTGGTTAAAAACACGATTCCCCGGCAATGTCCTGAACAACCTCGTGCTTGAAAGGAAAAAAAAGGAACTTTTGGGCGAAACCCTCGACGAACAAAACTCCTGTTTCGTGCATGTAAAACGCTAGATTTTCCACTTTTTGAAGTGACCCTTCCAAGGGATGTGTGCCATAAATTTATTCCAGACATATAAACATGTTTAAATTACTACAGTTTCGGACACTTCCCTCATCGTCCTGGCATTGTGTGATGTCATCACCGACACGGTCTCTTACAGATGCTGTTACCTTGTTTGTAAACCCTATGTTTCATTTTTTGACATGCCAATAATGACCCTTTGGACCACTATTTTTCGTTCCTGGTGATCAATTGAATCCAGATTTTCCCGTTGCGCAAATCTTATTTTTGGATATTTTTTGGGGATCAACGAATCCACAAATTGGGTTTTCATCCTACGCCAGTTTTTTGGGTGATCAGTTGGATCCACATTTTTCCGTTCTACAATCTTGTGTGCTTTTGATTGTGTTGAATTAGTTGAGTTTCATGTTGTTGGTTTGACTCGCCACAGGATATGTGGAGCGTGGCAAGTGGTGAACGTGATGGGAGCAACTTCAACTTCATGGAAAAACTTCAGATGCCCAGATTTGCTGAGAATTTTGTGATGTCGGCAGATCTAGTGGGATGATTGGGAATCGATTGCTTAACCGTTGGCCCAGAAAAACCTCAATGACTGGATTTTAGATATAACTCTATACAATGATACTTTCCAGCAATCTTTTCCAGCAATCTTGCTCAAGCAGGGGATGAAACCACCCAATATGATTCATTGCGGAACATATTTAGTATTAGGATAGGATATTTCAGGATATGGGTTTGTCTGAAAATGGGGTATATTCCCAATTATAGCCATTTAGTAGGGATAATGATCATTAACCATTGGGTGTAGGGGTACACTATTTTCAGGCACACCCATATGTCCAGCCATCAGAAGTCGGCCTTGATGTCTCCAGGATGGGCATTTCCTCCTTCGTCTCCAATCCAAGCACACACGCGTGGTCAACGGCCTCGAAGGAGAGCTGGTCCTCGATGAGTTTCCCCGTGCTGGAGATGTTTTTCTTCCGGCGCGTCATCTTTGACGAGCTGCACGAGTTGCAGGGAGAGACTAAAGGAGAGAAACTTCAAGGGTGGGATGATTTACATCATATGCTACAAAAAAAATGTTGTTTGTGTCTGTTTTTTTTGGGGGGGTACTATGTATATATCATAATTATTCATACATACACAATATATCACAATATCATATAGTACACTATTGAAATTGATTATGTTCAACGAATGTACAGAAGAACGCATTCATGGCCTTCCAAAGAATGAAACACTGAGCATGACCTCAGCGTGTTGATACCCTACCGCTTTCCTTGAAGATTGGTCAAGATGATCAACCTCCCAATATGCAGCTCACCTGGCAGTTCTGGCATAAAAAATGAATCCATTTGATCCCATTTGATCCCATTTGTAGATTCACCGTTCTAAATTGTGTGTTGGTATGTTATGTTTGTACATATTATATATATACATATTATTGAATTGTATTGAACTGATTGTAATTGCAATGTCTGGTGGTTGTTTTTGTTAAATATTGTTAATATGTTTATGATTATCATTACCGTATATTGTACCAGTGCTGTGATTAGAGCGTCAATCATTTTATCATTGTGTTACACAGTGCATACCCATACAAAATCATTATCAATTACAATAAAATGAAAACAACATATCTACTTCTCATGGGGTACTCAATCCATAACTGGTTTTTACAATCCATAATATTTTTCTAGAATCCTCTCTACTTCTGGATTATCTAGTGTTTTTTTTGTGTTTCATTTTGCCAATATCGTGATGTCTAGGTGATGTCTATATATGAGCCCTCCAGGAAACCCTCCGAGGGCCTCCATCGGTCCCACAGAGTTGAACAGTGTTTGATAAAGTGCCCTTTGGCGGACAAGCTTTGAGCATGTATATCAGAATAAGGTCAGCAATCCCATATGGCTATGGATCAATACCTATAAAAATACAATTTTTAGTGGGATGAACATCCATAAATCCCAGCTAATCTGTATAATATGTGTATATATATATATATATATGGTATGTATATATATATATATGGTATATGTATATATATATATATATCATATGTGTATAGTATATATATATATGCATATGCCTACGAGTCAAAATGTAAAGCCCTGATCCATACCCTGAACCCACAGGCCGATCCATACCCCCGATCCATACCAAAACGCAGGTGATCCAGGCCGATCCATACCCAAATTTTTGAAGCAACCCCATATACAATATTATAATTATAACATATATTATGCCTATACACACAGCATATATATATATATACACGATATTCAAAATTACACATCATTATGGCTGATTATATAGTCACTAGATACATAAGAATACATAGTGTGATGACTATACTTGGATGATCTATGAACGATACATATTATCTACATATCTAGATGACTATATAACTACCAGTTATAAGTGTACATTTTGAGAGTATATAATTGTAGGTATATCATTTATTATCCCAACTATAAATACATCATATACCAACAATGGAATTGTGCAGTGTGCATAGGGTTCTATTTGGGGGTGGGTCAAAACCTGTAAACCTATCAATTTTAGTGGGATGATCATCATCGAAAATCCCAGCTGTGACTTGAGGTGCACAATCCCATAACCATTTGACGATGTATATTTCATCATATACCAACAATAAGATTGTACCAACTATATACCATCTATAATCATGTATCATATCCCAACTTAAAAAAATAACATCCCAACTATATCATATACCAACGAAAAATATTTGACGATGTTCCTAAACATCATGTTTGATCCCTTTTTTAGGAGACATGAGTGCGATCTATCACCTCCGTTCTCATCATTTCTGGGGCCTCACTGCTACGCCATTGATGGCGAGCTGTCGCCACGTCGCCTTGGCATGCCTTGGCGGTGGAGGTTTCCGGTGATCACCATGACTTAGTAATGACACCCATGGTGACTTGGAGAGGAAACGAGGAAAGCCAAGGAGAAATAGAAACATGAATCATTTTTTTATTGGCATAAATGGCATAAATGTGAATTTATAGATTATTATATATAGTACAATTTATCTATAGGTTAACCATGGTTACCCTCTGGTAATTTAACATAGCTATTGAACATGACCATAGAAATAGTGGATTTACCCATTGATAGCATGGTGGATCTTTCCATAGTTATGGGACAGTTTACCAGAGGGTAAATGTGAATTGATGAGATTCAGCACACAACACTGGTTGGTGGTTTGGAACATGGCTTTTGTTTTTCCATATATTGGGAATAATAATCCTAACTGACTTTCATATGTTTCAGAGGGGTTGAAACACCAACCAGATTATATAGATGGGATTCTAGGTCCGAATTCTTTCGCTTAGGTGACTTGTTGTGTCAATATTCTGATTGAGATTCTATGTTTTTATGATTTATTGAAGCTTGTCATTCTACACAACCAAATGTTTGAGAATGTAAGCCTTTCAGGAATCATTCAATTGAATTGATCAAACTATAGCATTGGAATCCTCCAAAAATGAAGTGGCGTCTCACTAAGACCGTTGAAAAAATCTTCGTTGAGCAACACAGGTAAGCAGTGTCAAAACTTGATTGGTTGACGATTAATAGGGGTTTATATTACTTGTTCCCTGGACTGTATATGTGGAAACATCATAATCCATTATCGGAATCCCCATTCCCCAAGCATCATCTAGGATCGGCAATTGGTGCACAGGTTAACCACTCATGCCATAATTATCATTCATCGTCTCAGACATGTTCCTATAAACAGAACAGTAATAGTAAGATATAATAAGTACACTAGTGAAATTTAATGTATCTACTGAGTAGCATGAAGAACATCATTTTCATAAACCGGCGGAGACTAACGAGACTGGACCTCGAGCTGTGAGGTCAGTCAGATGGCCAAGCTCCTCCGTGTGGACGTGGCCGGCCCTGGCAGTCACCTGCTCTCCGACTTCGACGCCGCGCTGCGCGAGAACTGCCAGCGCTTCCTGGACGGCTGCGTGCGGCGCAACACAGCGGAGGTTCCGAAGATCGCGGTGAAGCAGCACTTGAGGTTGGTGAAACACACGCCACAGGAGCTGGGGGCAAAGCTAAAACTATTGAGTCAAGCCAGTTGAGGGTGAAATGTGTGAAGAGATAGATATAACATGGTGTAACATGATATACTCCCTTTGAATATGGCAATTTTTTGGGAAGCCTCACCGGTGAGTTAAACCAAAAAACAGTGGGATTTCATTATTGCATATGGTGAAGCAAGCAAAAGTGTGAACCTTTTGGCTGCAGATGGGTGAAACATACACCACAGGAGCTGCCGAACCCCACTGGAATAGTAGGCAGATCAGCACCAGCTTGGAACTTGAGCCAAAACGTTGGGTTTTCCTCGCAGGAGAGAGCGTTGTACCTCTCAGCGTGTGCAGATGTTTGGAGCAACACACTTCAAAGAAACCAACGACTGCTGATTCTGTGCTCTCACTTCAGTGACCAATTGCTTGGAGAACAAAGTGCCAACGAGGACACAACAGAAAGGGACTAGGGGATGATCAGTGGCACATGAATTCTACTACCAATATCTACCAAGTATTACTTTTAATGAAAATTACTCATTGCAAAGCATATAAGTTTACTTAAATAAGCCTTATATATATATATACAACCTACTCGTAGTGCAGACATCTACATATAAATTAACGGTGTGTTCCGTAGTTATGGTGATGATATACTAAGTTTGAACCATTAACTTTTTTTATGTTATAGTATAGTTGTAGTGTTCTATACTTATATATGGTATATGAATAGTTGAACATTAATTGTAATATATATATATATAGTTATATTCTATAATTATTGTTGTAGTTATAGTATCATTTATCATCTATATGTTATGTTTACATATATATATATATATGTTATATATATATGTGTGTGTTATAAATATATACTGTATATATTCCAACTATAACCCATGAAGTCCGCTGAAAACTGCGCCAGGCATGTGGCAATCTGGTGAGCCGTCGCCGGCAAGGCTCTCAGATTGCGCTGCAGCGCTTGGAGGTGGCAGCGCGGTGGTGGGAGGCACTACGAAGGTTGGGGAGCAAGCTGAACACGCAGGCGATGGGTGTCATGGTGATGGCTTATGGGGATATATATATATATATATAATATATATATATATAATTATATATATATATATATATGTGGGCACACACCATATGTTAGGTCATTTTGTGGGCACATACCATGTTTAGGTCATTTTGTTATGTAAATAACTTGATAAAATGAGGTTGGGGGTCTCGTGGGGTGGGTGAGTATATATATATATATTATGTGATGTAATATGGGAAATATCATGGACATGAAAAAGAAACTTTAAGAATATGGGTATGGTTTGGTTTGATGTTTGATGATTTTGTTGATGATCTTGTTGATCATGAACTATGTATATTAACCATGTTGGTATAGTTTATCTATAGATTAACCATATTAACCACGATGCGGCAGGCCCTGGAGGCCTCGGCCTTGGGCCGTTCGGAGGAAGCCAAGGGCGTGCTGAGCGAGGTGCAGCGGAAGGCCTTCGCAGAAAGCGCCGCGGCAACGAGGAAAACGATGGGGAAAACGATGGTTAATATGCTTAACCTATAGAAACATAAATGTTTAATATGGTTAACCATGGTTATATAACCTATAGATAAACTGTACTATAATAATCTATAAGTAATATGAATGACGATTTGTTCACAATATTAACATATATCAACCACAAACATAGTTATTTTGGGGTTAATGGAGTTTATGGTATAGAAATATATGGCTTATGGGTTGAGTTCACGTGGTTCAACTAGATGTGCCATTGGTCGAAAGTTGGATGGCCGTTCTGATAGCCATACTGGGGGATGGTTATCAATCCATTTGTAGGCATTTATAAATCCATTCTAAGGATTCCCAATTGGAAATGATTGGAACCATGAAAAATGGAGGTTGAATTCCAATCAAATTGAGATATAGAGCCATCATTTACCAGTCACTGTGGTGTACCGTATGAGGTGGTGCCACCCAGATGTTAGTAGCTTTATAAACTCAATGAAATTCTAGATAATATTTGCCATAAACCAGACTTAAACTATAATTATATACATGTATATATATATAATATTATAATATAATACATCTATATACTACTTCTATACACTACATTCATATATATATATATATACGTAGTTATATATATATATGTTAAACGATAGTTAATCATATTACTGTATATAGATATTTCTACCATGAACGGATTCGCTGTTTGAGGTGTAGAGGATTTGACGGCTGTCAGAATGGAAGGGGAGCCTTGGTGTGCCCGGGTGAAGCTACTCGGTGGCAAACCTGGATCCAAGTGGTCGAATTCTTCGGTATTCTTCGTTGATCTCCAGCTTTCTTTAACGGTTGCCATCCTTTGTTGTTTCACTTGGAACTGCAATGATGAAATCGTGGGAGAATCTCGGGGCGAATCTGGTTTTTTTGACTCTGGGCTGCTGATCCTTTTGGGTGAATTATGATAGACAGTCATGAGAATCAGTTCCATAGATGTTTTAGCATCTTCCACTGTAAGAGATGTGCATTTACCCACATCTGTACATAATCATTGCCTTGCCGTGTTTTTCTTTGATGACACACATCTTGTTGACTTGCTATCAGGAGTGAACTTTCTCACACGGCGACGTGTCTGAGGGCACTATTCCCCAGATGTTGATGTTGGTTTGTCTGAAATATAGTAATTTGGTAAGCCCAAGAATAAGTGATCTCCAAAATCACAATAAATGGGTGGTATAAACCATCCATTGGTTGGTTTCCCACATTACCCAAAATCCACTGGACTGGTTATGTTCCCTACTCCCCCATGGCACGGTCACGGAGAGCAGTAGGATTCGGAATCCCATAGGGTCCGAAGCATAAGAAACACCCATATTCGGGGGTTTCTTAAAGTGAAGGATCCGCAAAACCATGGGCTTCAATACCAAAATATCGTTTTGGAGGATTGGGGGGTACCCCGTTTTTTTGGGAAACCTGTAAGTACGCATGTATATTTCGGATCATTTTCGGGGTGTCTCAAGATTGTTTAAAAAGGTACTTATATAGACATAAAGAAGACTCTTCATCCAGTGGAAGGCCTAAAATCCAACCGGAAACCTTTTTATGTCCTCAAAAACATCTGAAAACGTCTTCAGACCTCATTGTTCCCTGCTTTTTTGAACCATTGAGGCGCGCCCTCTCCAGCGAAAATTCCGTGGCCCAGTCCGGCTGGGCGGAGCGTTGTGAGAGCGCCCTTCGCTCAGCCCTGGAGTCGTTCTTGGAGGCGAGGCAGGTGGATGGGTGCCACTGGTGGCTGGTTGGTGGTTTCAAAATTTTCAAACAAATGTTGCGTTTCAACATGTTGAAAAACCATACTTGGCAGGGATGATTGGTTGAAATGACGTTTGCATATATTTTTGGGATGGGTTGAAACAACCAGAGGATTTTGTATATGATCCAACAGATTTCTTTTGGATGTGAGTAAGTGAAAAAATCTTGGGTAGGCTCAGACAAAAACTGCATGAAGTTGCGCTAGAATCAATCCAAATGAGGAGATGTGTGGGTCACTTGGACATGTAGGCATGGTTCAAGATGTCAAAATCTCTGGTTTGCCCGGAGTTGGTTGTTTCTGTTACGAGGGAATCATCCAATGTTGATCCACTTTTTGCCTAATTTCGATGGACTATCGACACAATTATGCAATTCTCGTTGGAAGGGCAATATGGGGTACAGTATATGATATGTCCCATGTTTTTATTGCCAAACAGCCAAACATATCATTTAAGTGGGGTTGTTGCCAATGTTTTTTGTTATCCCATTGTGTTCCCAAAATCTTTCTGGTTGAATTTCAGTGTGTTGAATCCTCCCGGGTTCGGTGAATCTGAACCACAAACGTACGTGTGCCATGGTCAAAGGTTGCATGTTGCTGGATGGTCATACTACCTTTTTTCATAGGATATATCTGGGTAAATTATGACGACCTCACTGCGACCTCACTGGAATCATGGTTAGTAAGGGGAATCATCCCAAAATGGCCTTAATTCAGGGTAGTGAAATATTATAATTTACCCAGATAGATAGGATTTAACCATGTTAAACCAAACAAAACATGAGATAGAAAAACATTTTCCAAAAAACGATCCCCACTTGGCGTGGAGGGTGGGTTATCTCCCTGAACTGAACTTGACGGCACAGCCAGGCACAAGCGCAATTGAAGTTCCTTGAGAAGACCCTGGAGCTGATTGGAAAGGCGAGAGCAACCAGGTGAGTTTTTTGTTTTAAATACCTTGGTAGATCTTGGTAGATTGGTGATTGATAACGGACAGTAGGGACTATCAATAGTAGGGATCATTAATAACTATTTAATGTTCATCATAGTCCTTACTATAGGGATTATACTATTATCCATAGGTTATTGTGGGCATAACAAACATGAATTTCATATTAGCTATATCTATTTGGCAACAATAGCAATGTTTTTTTTTTAAATAGTCAATACTATTTGGGTTTGGTTAATGGGGATTATGAACCAACCCACAGTAGGGAAACCCATCAACCAAGTATGTGGTCGAATTTTGGTGGGACTCAATATTTCCTGTGCAAAAAAAATGTTTTATGATGCTTGCTGGGGAGACACCGATAATTTGAGGAGAATATGAGAATAGGAAGTGTATTGCATGATTTACATGCCAGGGGACATGAAACACACAATGTGCAACTAGTATATGTTGTGCAAGAGGCACGTGGTTAATGTTTTTGTCGACCTGGCAAATCCAGCATGGAGCATGAACCCATATTCAGCCTGGTGTAAGTGGAATACAATCATATGATATCATATGATATACTTCACCTTTCTCTGAATGTAACATATTGTAACATGAAACCTGATCATACCTTGACCACAGTTGTTTGTGAATGCAATTCACCATGATTATAAATGATTTTCTCCAAATCATTGAGTTTTGTGTTTACAACATCATCAGATTTTCCATGCCCTCCAACTCTGACCAGCCACAGTTCCTGTAGGACAAAGAGCGCAGCTGTGTGATTTGCTACCAGGACCGGTGGCGGTGGCTGGTAGTCAAAGTTGGATACCTCAAAATGGATGAAGCACGAACACCTCAAAGAGATGACTAGAACACTATGGAAAATATACACGGGGACTTCTATTTTGGTTTGAGATCAGGCCCACACTTCGAATCTGTGGAAGTAATTCGAAGAAATGTTTATCAGTGACTGATTCCCCTCCATTTCTGTTGTGTTTTCAGGAGAACTTGGAATTGGAACAGCTTGGCATTACGCCTTGCGCCCATTACTTCTGCTTGCCCTGCTTGACGCAGCAAGTTGAGAGAAACCAGCGCTGTGGCGTGTGTCGCCATCCGTTGAAGTCACTAGGTCCTGATGAAATGGTTTGACCACGTGGATGAACGCTGCACCCACCATAATACACACACATACAGCCAGACGCAGCCACCATAATATATCACACACAGAGATATTGAAACATGTTTATATATATATATATATGTATATATATATATATATACATACATATTAATATGATTTGCATTAATTATATATGTTTGTATTTTACAATACATATGGATATGTGTCTTACTTATTTCATACATATGTAAAACACATAGGTATATATATATATACATTATATTATTATATTATTATACTTATTTTATACACTGTACATATTATAATATGCTATAGGTTATATATATATATATATTTAAGGGCTGCCGCCCCTGCCGCCGACCCCGGTGTGTACACCCTATGTGCCACAACTTGAATGTAGTCGGCCTCATTTTCTTGTCCGAGATGAACTCAGAGTGTGTTGCTTAGATAACTTCACAGGTTGAGGTGTGTTTCGTAGCATTCCCTATGAACAGTATTGGTGCACAGTTCAAGTTCTTGTATAGGAGGGTGTGGTTTCAACTCTAAAGGGCACTTGCTGTTGTTGTTGTTGTTGTTGCTGGTGGTGGTGGTGGTGGTGGTGATGGTGGTGGTGGTGGTGTTGGTGTTGGTGTTGGTGTTGGTGCCTCTGAAGGACGGAGAAGTCCCAAAATTGCACCCCGAAAATGCCTAACGTAACTTCTGAAACCCATAGAAAATGATGCTTTTGGCTCCTTTTCCTCTTGCTGCTGCTATGAATTTTGGCTACCTTTTCCTCCTGCTACTGCAGAGGCTTTTGCTGCTGCTGCGGCTGGTCCCCCGATGGAAAAACACAATGGAAAAAATCACCTCCCGGCAGGGAAACACCATACCTCTGAAGGACGGAGAAGCCCTAAAATTGCACCCCGAAAATGCCTAAGTAACTTCTGAAACCCATAGAAAATGATGCTTTTGGCTTCTCTTTCCTCTTGCTGCTGCTATGAATTTTGGCTACCTTTACATCCGGTCCCCAAATGGGAAAACACCATGGAAAAAATCACCTCCCGGGGACGAAACACCATGCCTCTGAAGGACGGAGAAGCCCCAAAATTGCACCCCGAAGATGCCTAACGTAACTTCTGAAACCCATAGAAAATGATGCTTTTGATTCCTTTTTCCTCTTGCTGTTGCTATGAATTTTAGCTACCTTTACATCCGGTCCCCAAATGGGAAAACACCCTGGAAAAAATCACCTCCCGGGGGCGAAACACCATGCCTCTGAAGGACGGAGAAGCCCCAAAATTGAACCCCGAAAATGACGTAACTTCTGAAACTCATAGAAAATGCTGCTTTGCTGCTTTTGGTTCCTTTTTCTTCTTGCTGCTGCTATGAATTTTGGCTACCTGTTGCTCCTGCTGCTGCAGAGGCTTTTGCTGCTGCTGCTGCTGGTGGTCTCTAGATGGGAAAACACCATGGCAACTACAGAGGCTTTTGCTGCTGCTGCGGCTGGTCCCCGGATGGAAAAACACCATGGAAAAAATCACCTCCCGGCAGGGAAACACCATACCTCTGAAGGACGGAGAAGCCCCAAAATTGCACCCCGAAAATGTCTAAGTAACTTCTGAAACCCATAGAAAATGATGCTTTTGGCTCCTTTTTCCTCTTGCTGCTGCTATGAATTTTAGCTACCTTTACATCCGGTCCCCAAATGGGAAAACACCATGGAAAAAATCACCTCCCGGGGGCGAAACACCATGCCTCTGAAGGACGGAGAAGCCCCAAAATTGCACCCCGAAAATGCCTAACGTAACTTCTGAAACTCATAGAAAATGCTGCTTTGCTGCTTTCGGTTCCTTTTTCCTCTTGCTGCTGCTATGAATTTTGGCTACCTGTTCCTCCTGCTGCTGCAGAAGCTTTTGCTGTTGCTGCTGCTGCTGCTGCTGGTCCCTGGATGGGAAAACACCATGGCAGTGAAGGACGGAGAAGCCCCAAAATTGCACCACGTAACTTTTGAAACTACTGCAAAACAATATAGTTTTCGACAATTTTTTTTAGTTCTCGACCAGTTGTTATACCACTGTTTGTACAATGAGACATAGAACCCTCCTGCTGCTCCTGTTGCTGCTGCTGCTCTTCCTTAGTAGTAGTAGTAGTAGTAGTAGTAGTAGTAGTAGTAGTAGTAGTAGTAGCAGTAGTAGTAGTAGTAGTCGTGGTCGTCGTCGTTGTCGTCGTCGTCATTGTCGTCGTCGTCGTAGTAGTAGTAGTAGTAAAAATCACCTCCCGGAGGCGAAACACCCTCTGAAGGAGGAGAAGTCCCAAAATTGCACCCCGAAAATGCCTAACGTAACTTCTGAAACCCATAGAAAATGATGCTTTTGGCTCCTTTTTCCTCTTGCTGCTGCTATGAATTTTGGCTACCTTTTGATCCTGCTACTGCAGAGGCTTTTGCTGCTGCTGCGGCTGATCCCCCGATGAAAAACACCATGGAAAAAATCACCTCCCGGCAGGGAAACACCATACCTCTGAAGGACGGAGAAGCCCCAAAATTGCACCCCGAAAATGCCTAACGTAACTTCTGAAACCCATAGAAAATGATGCTTTTGGCTCCTTTTTCCTCTTGCTGCTGCTATGAATTTTAGCTACCTTTACATCCGGTCCCCAAATGGGAAAACACCATGGAAAAAATCACCTCCCGGGGCGAAACACCATGCCTCTGAAGGACGGAGAAGCCCCAAAATTACACCCCGAAAATGCCTAACGTAACTTCTGAAACCCATAGAAAATGATGCTTTTGGTTCCTTTTTCCTCTTGCTGTTGCTATGAATTTTGGCTACCTTTACATCCGGTCCCCAAATGGGAAAACACATTGGAAAAAATCACTTCGTCAGATTCTGTTGCCTGCGGCTGCTAGCAGTAAAACAGCTTCGAAAAAATCACCTCCCGGAGGCGAAACACCATGCCTCTGAAGGACGGAGAAGCCCCAAAATTGCACCCCGAAAATGCCTAACGTAACTTCTGAAACCCATAGAAAATGATGCTTTTGGCTCCTTTTTCCTCTTGCTGCTGCTATGAATTTTGGCTACCTTTTCCTCCTGCTACTGCAGAGGCTTTTGCTGCTGCTGCGGCTGGTCCCCCGATGGAAAAACACCATGGAAAAAATCACCTCCCGGCAGGGAAACACCATACCTCTGAAGGACGGAGAAGCCCCAAAATTGCACCCCGAAAATGCCTAAGTAACTTCTGAAACCCATAGAAAATGATGCTTTTGGCTCCTTTTTCTTCTTGCTGCTGCTATGAATTTTAGCTACCTTTACATCCGGTCCCCAAATAGGAAAACACCATGGAAAAATTCACCTCCCGGGGGCGAAACACCATGCCTCTGAAGGACGGAGAAGCCCCAAAATTGCATCCCGAAAATGCCTAACGTAACTTCTGAAACCCGCAGAAAATGATGCTTTTGGCTCCTCTTTCCTCTTGCTGCTGCTATGAATTTTAGCTACCTTTACATCCGGTCCCCAAATAGGAAAACACCATGGAAAAAATCACCTCCCGGGGGCGAAACACCATGCCTCTGAAGGACGGAGAGGCTCCAAAATTGCACCCCGAAAATGCCTAACGTAACTTCTGAAACCCATAGAAAATGATGCTTTTGGCTCCTTTTTCCTCTTGCTGCTGCTATGAATTTTAGCTACCTTTACATCCGGTCCCCAAATAGGAAAACACACCTGCCGGCAGGGAAACACCATGCCTCTGAAGGACGGAGAAGCCCCAAAATTGCACCCGAAAATGCCTACCGTAACTTCTGAAACCCATAGGGCGAAACACCATGCGTCTGAAGGACGGAGAAGCCCCAAAATTGCACCCCGAAAATGCCTAACGTAACTTCTGAAACCCATAGAAAATGATGCTTTTGGCTCCTTTTTCCTCTTGCTGCTGCTATGAATTTTAGCTACCTTTACATCCGGTCCCCAAATGGGAAAACGCCATGGAAAAAATCACCTCCCGGGGGCGAAACACCATGCCTCTGAAGGACGGAGAAGCCCCAAAATTGCACCCCGAAAATGCCTAACGTAACTTCTGAAACCCATAGAAAATAATGCTCTTGGCTCCTTTTTCCTCTTGCTGCTGCTATGAATTTTAGCTACCTTTACATCCGGTCCCCAAATAGGAAAACACCATGGAAAAAATCACCTCCCGGGGGTGAAACACCATACCTCTGAAGAACGGAGAAGCCCCAAAATTGCACCCCGAAAATGCCTAACGTAACTTCTGAAACTCATAGAAAATGCTGCTTTGCTGCTTTTGGTTCCTTTTTCTTCTTGCTGCTGCTATGAATTTTAGCTACCTTTACATCCGGTCCCCAAATAGGAAAACACCATGGAAAAAATCACCTCCCGGGGGCGAAACACCATGCCTCTGAAGGACGGAGAAGCTTCAAAATTGCACCCCGAAAATGCCTAACGTAACTTCTGAAACTCATAGAAAATGATGCTTTTGGCTCCTTTTTCCTCTTGCTGCTGCTATGAATTTTAGCTACCTTTACATCCGGTCCCCAAATAGGAAAACACCATGGAAAAAATCACCTCCCGGGGGCGAAACACCATGCCTCTGAAGGACGGAGAAGCCCCAAAATTGCACCCCGAAAATGCCTAACGTAACTTCTGAAACCCATAGAAAAATGATGCTTTTGGCTCCTTTTTCCTCTTGCTGCTGCCATGAATTTTAGCTACCTTTACATCCGGTCCCCAAATAGGAAAACACCATGGAAAAAATCACCTCCCGGGGGCGAAACATTATGTTTGTGAAGGACGGAGAAGCCCCAAAATTGCACCCCGAAAATGCCTAACGTAACGTCTGAAACCCATAGAAAATGATGCTTTTGGCTCCTTTTTCCTCTTGCTGCTGCCATGAATTTTAGCTACCTTTACATCCGGTCCCCAAATAGGAAAACACCATGGAAAAAATCACCTCCCGGGGGCGAAACACCATGCCTCTGAAGGACGGAGAAGCCCCAAAATTGCACCCCGAAAATGCCTAACGTAACTTCTGGAACCCATAGAAAATGATGCTTTTGGCTCCTTTTTCCTCTTGCTGCTGCTATGAATTTTAGCTACCTTTCCATCCGGTCCCCAAATAGGAAAACACCATGGAAAAAATCACCTCCCGGAGGCGAAACACCATGCCTCTGAAGGACGGAGAAGCCCCAAAATTGCACCCCGAAAATGCCTAACGTAACTTCTGAAACCCATAGAAAATGATGCTTTTGGCTCCTTTTTCCTCTTGCTGCTGCTATGATTTTAGCTACCTTTACATCCGGTCGCCAATAGGAAAGACACCATGGAAAAAATCACCTCCCGGGGCAAACACCATGCCTCTGAGGACGGAGTAAGCCCCAAAATTGCAAATCCCCGATAAATCCTAACGTACTTCTGAAACCTAAAAATGATGCTTTTGGCTCCTTTTTTCTCTTGCTGCTGCTATGAATTTTAGCTATCACCTGTAGCATCCGCTCCCCAAATAGGAAAAACTGGAAAAAATCACTCCTGGGTCGACACACCATGGCCTCTGAAGACGGAGAAGCCCCAAAATTGGCAACCCCGCGAAAATGCCTAACGTACCTTCTGAAACCCATAGAAAATGATGCTTTTGGCTCCTTTTTCCTCTTGCTGCTGCTATGAATTTTAGCTACCTTTACATCCGGTCCCCAAATAGGAAAACACCATGGAAAAAATCACCTCCCGGGGGCGAAACACCATGCCTCTGAAGGACGGAGACCCAAAATTGCACCCCGAAAATGCCTAACGTAACTTCTGAAACCCATAGAAAATGATGCTTTTGGCTCCTTTTTCCTCTTGCTGCTGCTATGAATTTTAGCTACCTTTACATCCGGTCCCCAAATAGGAAAACACCATGGAAAAAATCACCTCCCGGGGCGAAACACCATGCCTCTGAAGGACGGAGAAGCCCCAAAATTGCACCCCGAAAATGCCTAACGTAACTTCTGAAACCAATAGAAAATGATGCTTTTGGCTCCTTTTTCCTCTTGCTGCTGCTATGAATTTTAGCTACCTTTACATCCGGTCCCCAAATAGAAAAACACCATGGAAAAAATCACCTCCCGGGGGCGAAACACCATGCCTCTGAAGGACGGAGAAGCCCAAAAATTGCACCCCGAAAATGCCTAACGTAACTTCTGAAACCTATAGAAAATGATGCTTTTGGCTCCTTTTTCCTCTTGCTGCTGCTATGAATTTTAGCTACCTTTACATCCGGTCCCCAAATAGGAAAACACCATGGAAAAAATCACCTCCCGGGGCGAAACACCATGCCTCTGAAGGACGGAGAAGCCTCAAAATTGCACCCCGAAAATGCCTAACGTTACTTCTGAAACCCATAGAAAATGATGCTTTTGGCTCCTTTTTCCTCTTGCTGCTGCTATGAATTTTAGCCGGTCCCCAAATAGGAAAACACCATGGAAAAATTCACCTCCCGGGGGCGAAACACCATGCCTCTGAAGGACGGAGAAGCCCCAAAATTGCACCCCGAAAATGCCTAACGTAACTTTTGAAACCCATAGAAAATGATGCTTTTGGCTCCTTTTTCCTCTTGCTGCTGTTCTTGCTACTCCTCCTATTCAAAAGACAGCCCCCGGATGGGAAAACACCGTGGCAGTGAAGGACGGAAAAGCAGCAAAATTGCGACCAAAAACTCCCTAATGTAACGTCTGAAACCCATAGAAAAGGATGATTTTAGCTACTTTTTCCTCCTGCTGCTGCTGCTGCTCCTGCTCTTGCTACTCCTCCTGTTCAAAAGACAGCCCCTGGATGGGAAAACACCGTGGCGGCTGCTGCTGCTGCTGCTACTGCAGCTGACCCCTCAAAAAGCTGCTGCTTTGCCCACAAAGACACGGCCCTGCCGGACGGGGATGCACCATGGCCCTGAAGGTTGTGTTGTTGTTGGTGGATGGTCGGTGGGGTGGTGGGGGGTGGTGGTGGTGTTGGTGGTGTTGGTGTTGGTGTTGGCGTTGGTGTTGGTGTTGTTCTTCAGTGTTGGTGTTGTTCTTCAGTGTTGGTGTTGTTCTTCAGTGTTGGTGTTGGTGCTGGTGTTGGTGTTGGTGTTGTTGTTGTTGTTGTTGTTGGTGGTGGTGGTGGTGGTGTTGGCGTTGGTGTTGGTGTTGGTGTTGGTGTTGGTGTTGTTCTTCAGTGTTGGTGTTGGTGTTGGTGTTGGTGTTGTTGTTGTTGTTGTTGGTGGTGGTGGTGGTGGTGGTGGTGTTGGCGTTGGTGTTGGTGTTGGTGTTGGTGTTCGTATTGGTGTTGGTGTTGTTGTTCATTGTTGGTGTTGGTGTTGGTGTTGGCGTTGGTGTTGGTGTTGTTGTTCAATGTTGGTGTTGGTGTCGGTGTTGGTGTTGGTGTTGTTGTTCACAACCTCTCTGCCCTGACGCGCTCCCCCTTGCGTCTGCCGGGGTCGGCGGATTTCTCACGTCTGCTGTGTCAGAAACTCCTTTTCCCTTACGCGCTTCCCCTTGCGCAGCCGGGGTCGGCGGATAATGGAAAATCAATCTATGGATGATTTGTGTTTCTTCCTTACTCTCCACTTTTCTTGAATTACTGTACGCATAGGATATCCCACTTGTTGCTGTCGATACACCATATGAAGTCGAGAATATGAAACTTTCCCAAGAATCCCACACATATCTCACATATCATCAACATCAAGCCATGGTCCATTATGAATAGCTTCTCCGAGCGGTTCTTCATTGACCCCTGTCCTGCTGGTTTACAGCTTCCCCAGTTACTGTAGTACAAGGTGGTAAACCAGGGGGGTCCGAAACGTAAACTGACGTAAACCATGGTTGGTTTATCATCACTTTCCCACATATTTCCCATTAACATTTTAATGTTACTATATTTGGATATCCCGCAAATTTTGACAGCTGTATTTTTGGTTGATTTGATGACTGTTGGCAAGTCCAACCACCCCCAAATCATCCATAATTGGTTTGGTAACCCAAGCTAAAATGTTTGTCCAGTGATTCGCTTGAATCATATTTGGCGTTTCCTGCATATGCTGTATCCCTGCATGTCTCATTTCATTCTGATGCTATAGATATCCCAACTTCGACTCATATTCTCGGTTGCAAAATCTATAGGTGGTTTATCCACGATGTTTATCACTGTTTTCCCATTTTTTCCCATTTTTTGTAGGCTCAAAAAACGCAGGTGGTGCAGGATTTCGCAGCCATCCACAGTATCTTTGACCCAGGAGTACAAGATGGCTGCCGTGGAGGACGGGTCACCCGTGGATGGCTCACCCATGAAGCGCGCCCTGGACATCGCCTGCTGCAACTTCCAACGCTTCCTGGGCGCCAGGGCTGCCGCGCTCCCGTCCGTGCCGGTGGCCGGTGGTGGATGAGTGTTTGGATGGCTCCAAAGTGGCTATTTGATATGGAGATTGAATTGAAATGAATGGGGATTAAATGGGGACTTTATGGGAGTGAACATGAATCTGATTGACTGATTGAATGGGAGTCCATGAACTTGTGAACGATGGGAGTTGAGATCCAAGATGAGCCATAATTGCTTGAGATTAGGATGAGTTGTGTGTCGCCGTTGTGACGAACGGCTTCTTGCAAGCAATTCGTCAACTCTGAAGGAGTTGGAGTCGAGTTTTGGACAGCTGCTGGTGGTGGAATTGACCAAGCAATCAGGCGTTGTGTCTAACCATGGGCGATCTGTTTGTGGCCAATGATGTATATTCTATTGTTGCTTACATTTCCCATTATATATATACTATATATATATATACTATATATATATATACTATATACTATATTTATACTATATATATACACTATATATATATAATATACACACCACACGTAACCTCTTTGTATAGTACTTATATTGTGTAAATAGTAGTAGTATCTGATACATAATGATATATGAATGTTAATAATGTATGAATATGGTACTGATATATATTATTATGTTACTAATATGCTATATAATAGTTCTACATATATGTATATATAATGGGAAATCATGTTATACATCCTATGCATGTACATAAACGAGCTCAGAATCCATTCTGCTACCAGTGCTGTTCGCCGCCAATGAGCATTCAAAGTAATGCGTTCCTCACCTGAGCGGAAGCTCTGCCGAGGCTGTCCGAAAATGGTTTGGCTGATTGTGAGTTGAAGAGGCATAGGCAGATAAGCATAGAGAACAATATATATATATAGTAGCTCCCAAAAAGATAGAAACGTTTCCAGATGTTTCCAGGATGTTGTATATTGAATTACCTCATATGTTCAGGTTTCCACTGGGTTTGTGTTTGACTCCAGATGGCCAGAGAGAACCATAGATACGCCTCATAAGACTTTTTCGGAAAAGTTTGCATGCGGCACTATGATAGCATGGCGGTAGCATTTCTGACTCATCACCACCATTACAGGTGAATATATATATATATACATATATGCAGTATATGTAGTCAATATATGTTATAATATATATTATATATATACGCAGTGAATGTAATTATATATATATAGATAGATATATAGACACATTTCGCATCTAGGATCTTGATGCAAGGTCCAAGGTCCACTGGTCAACGATGCATGGGTACATCAAGGATCAATAGCTGCCAGGGCTGGTTCGATGTCATGAGTCAACTGGCTGAGATCCTGCGTAAAGAATAAGATCATGAGATGCTTGGGTAGATCAACCTGACATTCGCAAGTACTGATGCTTCTATATAATATTATATTATACAGTAGATACAACATGGACTGGTACTGTATGGAATCTCTTTGACTGATATTGTTGCTTTGCATAGGACCAATGCGAGGTCTTACAAGGTGATGGCAGGGATCATGGCTTTTGGTCAAGTATCCCAGGGTCAAAACACTGCACTTGTTCAAACCATGGGGGTTTGTCAAAATGTACCTATATCGCATATGTATATATATACACATATATTGTGATTTTCCAATTTAACCACCGGCTCCTTTTCCAGGTTGATCAAACCAATGCTCTCAAGGCACTTGGGCTCGAGGCGAGCCAGTGGAGGGTGGGTTGCGGACGTGCCTCTCCCGAGCCATAGCTGCGTCGTGACAGGGTCACTTTCATAGAAGGATCAGGGAATCCTCACTTGGCCATTTTGGCACTCCTGGCAAACCCTTGCCTTTCCGAAAGCCTGGCATTGCACTGACTTCAAACCTTGGAACCTCCTGCAGTATCTGGGAAAAAGGAAGTGCGGCGTCTCTCAGAGGAATCAGTTTGTTGTGGGGAAACAGATTGGACATTGGCAGCTGACACTCTTTTCCATTTTCATCAGATTCAAGGACTCCTAGTGTGCTGCCAATCATATTGGTAGCGGAGCCCCGCAAGGGGCATCCGGGGCACCTATATGGCAACTGATTCTGGTGGTGGATCCAATGGAGTTAGCAATCAACTATCTTCACTGGTACCTGGTTTTGATCCAGCAGTTGATGACATGCTGGTATATCAGCAGAAAGTGGAGTTGGTCTTAGCCGCATGGCCCCCTACGAAACTGAAAGAATTAGTCACTCGACTAATCCTGAACACCAAGGGGTCAGAAATTGCAGATACATCAGACTGAATTACTCTCAGGGGAGGAAGCTTCAGTTCACAAACTGGTGGAACTGCTGGGTGGACAGTGGGGAAGAATCCCGCTGGAGCGTCAGTATGAGGATGCTGAGCAGGCAATCTACCACACCTTGCAGAAAACAGACGAAACAAACGATTCGTTTCTGGCCAGAGCAGACATCCTGTGGAGCCGTTTGCTCTCCCGAAAAATCACCATAGCTGACCTGCAAGCATACATAGTGCTGCGTGGTTCGCAGTTGTCGGCCGACGAAAAGAAGAAGGTGATCATGGACAGTGAAACAACAGGAAGTCTGACAATGAAGAAAGTGAGTGAAGCCATCAGGCTACTGGGTGCATCGTTCTTTCAGGACATGACTGGAAAGAAGGTAGGTCGATCGAAGGTATATGACCAGGCCGCTCTGGTTAGTGACTCTGTGGACGAACCTGGTAGTCATCTCACTGAGGATTCAGCACTGACAGTTCATGACGAAGGCATGGAAGCTGAATTTCTGGATAGCATGATACAGGAAGGGGATCAAGACGCTCTCCTCGTAGCTGATTTTGAAGCTGCAGCCATGGACTTGATTCAAGACGATTCTGAACTAGCTGTTGCACTGACAGCATATCAGCAGGCGCGTCACAAGCTTGCCGAGAAGTTCAGAAATCGAGGTTTCTTCCCATCACGCCCGTTCGGCGGTGGTGGCAAGGGAAAGGGATTTGGTCAGAAGTTTGGTGGAAAGGGGAAATCCTCTTTCTACCAGTCTCAGTCAAAGAGGTCCCTTCAAGATCGAATCTTGAACAGTTCATGCAGAATATGTGGCCAAAAGGGCCATTGGAAAGCCGAATGCCCAATGAAGTCAAACGCCCAGTCCACCGCATCGTCAAGTGCAGCTCCGACCACGACTCTGATCACCGACGCCGGAGTCGACAGCCTGCCACTGGAATTCCTTGGATTGCCAGAGACGAATGTGGACGAGCCTCAGTTTTGTACAACAAATTTTGAGTCAATGATTTTTGTTGCGGAGTCAAACTGTATAGATAGATCCAAATGGATGAACCCTAGGGATAAGATTGGGGGTAACCATGGTCAGATTCATGGGGAATCCAACTGTAGTGCCATTCAATCTGGTTGGGAAGATCCATCACCAACAACCGCCAAAGAGCGGATCCGCCGATACCTTGCCAGGAGTGATGCAGCAATGCCACAACATTCGGTTTTGCCCACTGAAAACAGCCTTCCGAGCGAAATTCGAAGCCGCTTAGCCATCCGAGGTCAGGTATCAACAGGTTTGAGTCCACCACGGGTTTCATCAATGTACAGGGATGATCCAGTTTGTTTTGCAACTCACGATGCATGTGGAGTGCTTGACCTTGGAGCATCCAAAACCGTAGTTGGATCTGAGCATGTTGGCACCCTGATCCGTAGCTTAGAAGACGGCGTCCGATCCCAAGTCAGCCGTTGCGCCTGCCGAATTACTTTCCGATTTGGCAATGAGGCCACACTCACAAGCTCGCAAGCCCTGGTGATCCCCATTGGTAATCTTAGACTTAAGATAGCCATAGTCCCAGGAGGTACACCTTTTTTAATTGGCAATACCCTGATGCGTGCCATTCATGCCCAAGTTGATTGCCACAAGAAAACCTTGAGTAGTCCCAAACTCAGCCGTGACATTCCACTTGAATTAACACCCAGGGGTTTGTTTTTGCTTGATCTGAATGAGCTCGTGAAAGCCTCCGGTTCCGTGCAAGCACCAGTTCCTCAGTCAACGAAGCTTGTTGAGGAGACTTTCATGGCCTGTGAAAATGCTGCCGCCGAACGGAAGCAGGGCCGTGTCATGGAACCAGTGCCAAAAATTTCTCAGAACCTTTCCGAAATCAGTGATCTGCCGAAACTACATGGGTGCATGCCACCACAGAATTGCCAGAAAGCAGAACCGAAACCTCATGAGTTGATGACGAATGAAACCAGTCCACGCTTGGATGTAACAGAGCCGACACCATCATGCAGTGAACCATCGGCCCAAAGCCCAATTCTCAGTTCGCCATTGCCTAGCGTGCGTCCAGTAAAGGATCATGTCGTTGCTCAGCCGCCTTCGAGCCCTGCAGCAGGAAGACCCAATGCCGTTGACCAACTTGGACCACTTGACATTGGACGACCTGATGAACGAGAAAATCCAATTCGGACAAAAGCATCTGGGCCATACGCACCTGGAGGCATGGGAGGATCAGTCATGGATCACATACATGATCAACCACTACAGCAAGAGCAAAGCCCCAGCTCACCGCCGGTTGCTCCGATTTGTGGAGTTGATGATCGAGCACCACGAGAAGGACCAGATGGTGATCCCCGTACGACCCCCACAGGGGTCAGTGGCGGGATATGCAGGGACTTCCGGCCGTTCTGGAAGCGTGTTTCCCCAGTCCAAGATGAAAGCCCGGCCATCAAATACCACACCGGCCATCTCCTTGGACGACGGCACGGAGGAGGAGTTCGAGATGTACGCCTCGACGACTATGAACCAGCCCATCACCGAGAACCCGGAGTTCAAGGCCATCCAAGATCGGATGTTGAACCTCGAAAATGCCTTGACCCGAGTGATCCATCACCTCGAGTCCAAGATCGAAGAGGTGCCACAGTAGATCCTGATCATGATCTGAGCGCGGACCAGGTAGCCGAAACCTGTGTGACGGTTCATGCAGATGTCCAGCACCTGTGGACTCTGATTGCAGAGATCTCCAAGGAATTTGAAACCGTTCAAAAACAGTGTCATTCGATCGGAAAGCCATTTATTTTGGGTGAAGTTTTCTGCAGTAGCCAGTCTCCTCTGACACATCAGGTCCACCAATTGGAAGGCCAAGCATTTCGTCATGGCGAAGACCAGGGCGATCTAGCCACCACGAATGGTCGTCAGAAACTTTTTCAGAAGATCTGCATGCATCGACCCAAACATCTTTGGTTTAGTCCGACATGTGGCCCATGGTCCTCTTGGAGTTCACTCAATGCTAGCCGTTCGATGAGCCATATGAAAGAGTATCATCAGAAACGACATGACCTCAGATATCAACTAGCCTTGGGGATAGTGTTGTACCGGTATCAAATTTTGCATGGCCGACACTTTCATTGGGAACAACCCCAAAGGTCCTTGATGCTCCGCCATCCAGGCCTCAATGAAATACATGAGCATACTCGTTCGTGTATGTTTGACATGTGCGAAGCCGGAAACCTTCGAGACCCCAAAAGTGGAGATCACATGAAAAAGGGAATGCACATTCTCACTACCAATGAAGATTTGTTCAAACATCTCCATGGAAGAACATGTCGAGGGGATCATGTACATCAACATTTGGAAGGGACGATTTGCCACAATGGACACACCATCCACAGAACGGCTTACTCAGAAGTATATCCCCGAAAGTTTGCACGATCAGTTGCCAAAGTTTTGATGAGCACAAAGCACTCATGGCCTTTCAACTGGCAGAGCCGACGACTGTTGCATGACTTGGCCAATTCCGAAACAGTGCTGGTGAACCAACAGGTACGTTCCCATCAATTTGCCAAGACCCGGAACCGCCCTGTGTTCCCTCGATCCCAGCTGAGCGCTCCAATTTCAGAAATGCCTGAGTCATCAAAACGCAGACGCTTGGATGGTAAACAATGTTCAATCCCCAGCCTTGGTGATTGCCAGGAAGTCCTCCAGGAAGTTCAACCCATGGTTCCCCGGGTAGGTAAGGTGACCATTCAAAATAGTCAGATCATCAATAAGCTTCAGGGTATGTTCCCAGATAAGCAAATTATGTCCATAGTAGCATGTCGAGGTACCGATCGCACTCTGAGTTTGCCCAAGGAATCTGACAAAAGTTCAGCACCCTACCGAAAAGCATTGATGATCCTCCGAAGTAACAACAATGTGATGTTTGAAAGGCACTGGGAACAATGGTCCGAGCTGTCCAACCGCCAGATGATTAGGCCTGCCCACTCATGTCGATTGAATGTCACCATGTTTGCCAAAGAAATTGAAAAGAGCGCTCCGGGAACCTTGCCGATGAGTACTGCCACGACCATCCCAGAACCACTGCAGGGGTCACCAGAACCCACACCTGCTGAGCAAGAGCAGCCTCGGACCAATCCGCCAGAGACTTTTGAATCAGAAAACGAAGTGAATTCTGATCCACGCACCACGACTCCAGTCCCTGAAACAACAGAGGCTGTTAGGACTGCCAGTACTCAACCATCGGAAGCCCCAGAATCATCCCAGGAATTGAATAGACACCACCAAGGTGATGCTTTCAAGTCTCTCCCTCCCTGGGAACAGACTCAATTGATCCGTATCCATAAGAACCTAGGACACCCCACGAATGAGAAACTTGCCAATGCTCTAAAGCTTCAGGGTCAGAGACCGGAGGTCATTCGTGCTGCATTGGAACTTCGCTGTACAGTTTGCTCAGCCTGTGCTGCTCCCAAACACCAGCGTCCCGGCAGTTTAAAGAATTTGTTGGATTTTAATCACCGGGTGTACATGGATGGAATCAAATGGACAAACAAATCAGGTCAGTCATTCCAATTTTATCATGTCCTAGATGCAGGAACCCACTTCCATGTAGCATTTGTGACACCAACACACACATCCAGCGACGTCATTCGACTCTTCAGCCAACATTGGATGAATTGGGCAGGAGCACCACAAGAGCTCAAAGTCGATTCCGGCACAGAGCTCAATAGCCAGGAGTTTGCCGAATTCAATCAGCGTTTTGGTATTCGGTGCGAGACTACATGTCCAGAGGCCCATTGGCAGAATGGAAAAATTGAACGTCATGGTGATTTCCTCCAACACATGCTGACCAAAATTGACCTTGAACTCAGCATTCAGAACTATACAGACATGCAGATGGCCCTCAATCAATGCACTCAGGCAAAGAACAGCCTGAGTAGTCACCAGGGATATAGCCCCGAACTCATAGTGTTTGGAAGACAAAGTAGACTCCCTGGTTCGGTTCTCAATGATGATGGAATTCCTTCTCATGCATCAGCCGTGCAGGAAGAGCAAGAAATGAGCTCCTCAAGTTTTAAACAAATGCTCAAACTCCGAGAAATAGCACGACAAGCTTTTCACACTGCAGACAATAGCAGCTCTTTGCGCCGTGCCATGCTGAGACGTTCATGTCCATCAAGGGGACAATTTGCACCCGGACAGTGGGTCATGATATGGAGAACTCAGGGTCCCAACCGTAAAGGATGGATAGGTCCCCAAAGAACCATAATTCAGGAATCCAATCACACTGTTTGGACCTCCCAATCAGGTCGACTGTTCCGCAGTGCACCCGAAAATGTGAGACTAGCACTGCCTGAAGAGGGTCGCCCTGAGAGTTCAGAGCTTCCCGAAGACTTGACCATGCTGCAAAATCAAATTCGACGTATGACCCAAAATCCCAATAGGTTACCCCCAATTGATGAAGAAGTTCCCTCAAATGATCTTAATGTGGAAAATTTCCAAAATCCAGACAACCCTCAAATGCCCGAGCGTAGAGACAGTCAATCAAGTGAGTCCATAGGCCAACCAGATCAAGAGCCAGATCTCTCATCACGTCAATTGTCACCTGCTGAAAACTCACAGGACGTCTCAGGACCGGAAGAGGAACAAGACGCCTTCCTTACCAGTTGTGATGAACCAGATGTGTTGACAACTGATCCACTGGACAATTTTGCCTGGCGATGTGAGTATGAGATGACAATCCCGGAGTGCCATCTCAACCGGCCACCATCTCAATGCGAGGCATGGGCCCTACTGGTAACCAATGCCAAGAAACAACGAACGGAAGTGAAACTATCTGAACTGTCAGCCAGTGAACGTTCCGAATTTGAGGCAGCCAAACAGGCTGAGGTATCCAATTGGATAAGTACCGATACCATCAGTAAAATCTTGCGACATCAAGTTCCAACAGATCAAATTTTAAGATGCCGATGGATTTTAACCTGGAAACCACTAGATCAGACCAGTATGGAGGTATCAAATGGCCCCCAAGGAACCCATAAAGCAAAGGCCAGGATCGTAGTCTTAGGATATATGGACCCCAATATCGAAAATATCCCAAGAGACTCCCCCACCATGAGCAAAACATCCCGTATGATGTTGTTACAGATTCTGGCCACTCATCGCTGGGCAATGGAATCCTTTGATATCAAGGCAGCTTTCTTGCAGGGCCAGCCTCAGGCAGGAAGACTGATTGCAGTAGATCCTGTACCCGAACTCAGAAAGGCATTGGACATGCAAAATCATGAAATAGGCCGCTTGAACAAGGGTGCATATGGCCTCATAGATGCTCCATTTCTGTGGTACAGTGCACTGGTGCAAGAACTCATTCGCCTGGGAATGGAAGCTTGTCCTTTTGATCCATGCGTATTCATATTGAGAGAAGATTCCCAAGTGCCCGAACATCCCAATGATCGACCAGATCCCAAGTATCATGCTACTGGAAAGATTGTAGGAATTCTTGGTATCCATGTCGATGATGGGATAGGAGGTGGTGGAGAGAAATTTCAAAAGGTGATTAAGCTTCTTGAGCAAAAGTATCCATTCGGATCCAAAAAGAGTGGAGCTTTCACGTTCACGGGGGTAGATATGACTCAACAGGGTGATTATAGTATTGTACTTAATCAATCCAACTACGTAAGAAAAATATCCCCCATTAACATTGATCCAAATCGGCGTACCCAACCTGAATTGCCAATCACGAGTGAAGAACAAGGTCTGTTGCGTGGTTTAGTTGGTTCCCTTCAATACGCCGCGACAAACACCAGACCTGACTTGGCAAATCGCTTGTCGGGACTCCAATCAGCTATCAATTCAGCCACTGTGGAGACACTGCTGGAAGCAAACCGACTGCTTCACGAAGCAAAGAGGCATCATGATATGACTATTACCATTAAACCAATCCCCGAAGATCAACTTCGTTTCATGGTATTTTCCGACGCCTCCTTCGCATCGAGCAACAAATCCCATTCATACGCTGGAAACATTATAGTGTGTACTCATGCCAATATTGTGAAGAATCATGAATGTCCCATCAGTCCAATATCATGGGGCAGTAAAAAGATACAACGGGTTGTGACAAGTACTTTGTCAGCTGAGACTGCGTCATTGGCCACAGCTCTAGATCAATTGTCATGGGTCAGACTGTACTGGAAATGGCTTCATGATCCCTCCACCAAATGGCACAAACCCGATGATGCTTTATGTAAAGTAGAGCCGGCAACTTCTGTGAACACAGTCCCTTCCGAGATGGACCTGGCAGTTACTGATTGCAAAAGTCTATATGACTTAATTTCTAGAACTGCACCACCAGCTTGCTCGGAATTTAGAGTTCAACTTGTTGCCAGGTATATCAAAGAAATCCTGCGTGAAAATATCAACTTACGCTGGGTCCACACTGGAGCCCAACTTGCTGATGCCTTGACCAAGGCAATGGAAGCAAGATTCCTCCGGGAGACTTTAAAGCACGGGTTTTACAAACTCCACGATGAATCAGCCACCCTCAAAGAGAGAGCCAAGACTAGGGACAGAATTCAATGGCTAAAAGGTGCTCACTGAAGTTTGATCAACAAAAGAATTTTTGGGAGTGTGATTTTCCAATTTAACCACCGGCTCCTTTTCCAGGTTGATCAAACCAATGCTCTCAAGGCACTTGGGCTCGAGGCGAGCCAGTGGAGGGTGGGTTGCGGACGTGCCTCTCCCGAGCCATAGCTGCGTCGTGACAGGGTCACTTTCATAGAAGGATCAGGGAATCCTCACTTGGCCATTTTGGCACTCCTGGCAAACCCTTGCCTTTCCGAAAGCCTGGCATTGCACTGACTTCAAACCTTGGAACCTCCTGCAGTATCTGGGAAAAAGGAAGTGCGGCGTCTCTCAGAGGAATCAGTTGGTTGTGGGGAAACAGATTGGACATTGGCAGCTGACACTCTTTTCCATTTTCATCAGATTCAAGGACTCCTAGTGTGCTGCCAATCATAATATATATATATATATACATCGCATCTACTGTAGGAGCTACGCCAGTCAGTTGAGTGTGAAACCAGAGCACCAGGGCGAAGTGACGCATCAGACGCCATGGCTGCACTGCCAAGAGTGAAGTTATCGGTGCGGAGTTCCCAGTTGTTCGATTGCATATGCTGAACATTGCATGGGCTAATTAGGGCTGAAGCCCTCTGATGGTTATCAGTGGTTATAACATGTTATAACAAATGATGAACGATTCATCAATAGATGAAAGACACTTTTTGATGCCTTTGGACTGCCTTCTGATATAGTTTTGATCAAGAACTTGTTCGGAGGGACTATCTGCCCCATCCAAACGTGATGGCTTGAGCTCTATTTCTGCATCAACCAGCCAAGTCCCTTGTCATAGAGTATCCCATTCTATCCTGAGGTCAATATGGCTAATCATAATCCTTCTAAAGTGGCCAGTTTGGAGCAGTTCTTACATGTTCTTACCATATTATGATGATATTCTGTGGGGATATCAAGGTATTACATATATATAATTATGTAGAATCATTATGTATATATATATATATGAATAGTGTATATATATATATATATATATATATATCAAGCAAAAGGCATTTGTGAGTTAAGGCACTGGAGCCAACCCGGGTCCAGATCTGCCCCCAAGGACTTGCCTGCGGCTGAAAAGGAGAGGATGATGGCCTTCCTGGTGGCCAACCAGGCGACGGGAAGGGTTGGTTGATGTTGATGTTGATGTTGGCCAAAGTTGTGGTATCTTCAGAAGTACCCTCTGGTAATTTAACATACCTATGGAAAATCACCATTTTTAATGGGAAAACCATCTATAAATGGGCCATTTTCCATGGCTATGTTAAATAACCAGAGGGTATCTTCTAAAGTTGTATGCCCAAAGTTTTGGAACAGAAACATGTTCCAGCCATTTTTGGGTCGCAATTCCGGCTCCGGCTCCGCGTTGTTCCAGTAGTGCCATCCGCGACAGGTGGAGTTCAAACCGGATCTCTCTGGAAACTTCGCTGCCACTGTGAAGGTCCTCAGACCGCAGGTGCACCGAGCACTGGGACCGTTGGGACCGTTGGGACCACGGGGAAGAGATCTCTTGAGAATTCCCGAGCTGGCCATATGGCCATATGGTTCCTGGGTTACCCTCCAGTAGTTGAACTATAATAGAAATTCACCGATTCACCATTTACTTTGTTCATCTTTGTTCAATGAACTCCCTCGTTTTTTTTCCATGAAACATTGGGGATTTCCCATGCCATTAAATCACCAGAGGGTAAGATGGGGGGGAGAGATTCAAAGCCTGATTTTCACATCAACTTAAATGGTAAATGTGTGTTAAATCCAAAAAATGGCATCACAGACTTTGACAGATCACCGCATATTTTGATGGGGTCAGAATTCCACGAAACGCTTTTGAATGTGGTCACGTAGCACCTACTAACAGTACTCGTTGGCCGTCATTGGAGGTGACAGCCAAGGTGGAACTTATACTGAAAATACGCCAAACATGGATACATATGGTTAATCTTCAGCATAAAATGGGCAGTGGCTGAGTGGCTGCTAAATCCCTGTTGGTTGATGACTAGCAAAATACAGACTTTTGGATTTTACTATTCGTTTCTTTATGACTACTGGGTCACCATCTTTACGGGTGGGATTTTAAGAATCCGCAAATGGTAGGTTTATGGTAGCCAGGGTTTCCCATGGTTTCAGGCTCCCAAGATGTCGCCGCAAACTGCTCGAGACAAGATGGCAGGATGTGGGGATGCCCAGGTGTAGTAGATCCGAAAGGGCGTTCACCCTGGGATAAACTAGCGTCAATATATATGAAAAAACGTGGGAAATCCTTCAAAAGCCATGGAAAACCTAAATGGTTTTCCAAGGAAATGATCTGTATAATAATATATATATATATATAACATAACATCTATATAACTACTTGCTGTAGGGTGGAATCCTGCAGAAACATGGGAGTAGGTCCATGCGAAATTGAGGACATGCCCAACAGTAGCATATGATCCAACCAGCGAAATCAGGAAGGTCAAAACGTGTTTGGTCAATGTTTGGGATGAACTTTGGAATCAAATTCCCACGGAGCTGGGATGCTTCTCCCTGACTCAAAGAGTTTCGGGAAGTGGCTCAACCATCGGAGGAGGGATGATATCAATTGATATCTGTTCACATGGTATGTGGTTCAATGCCAACATATTATAACCCAAGAAATTCGGAGATATAATCCGATCCTAAAGAAACAGTTTGCTATTGAACATGGCCCAGTCAAAATAGTTGATTTACCATGATTTACCCATTGAAAATGGTGGATCTTTCCATAGTATATCCATGTATATCCGATCCCACTGAGTTTCATGTACCAAATGTGGCTGTAATCCCATTCTTATGGGCTGCCAGCAGCGACCCAGGGGAGAAGTCTGCCAGCAGCACTCCGAGCACTGCGGCGCCTGAGGAAAGCTTACCGTGGTTACGTTTGACAATGGGGGAGTCGGTGCTCAAATGGATCCATGTTTCGGTTTGATACTATTCTATTTAGACTTGGTTATGTACTGTAGGGATTACTCCAGAGCCCCTGACGGGAAAGCCATATAAACCAATACAAAGCTGGTTGGCGCTTTTCAATATTGGTTTCTAAAAAAGTACAAGCGGAAGATTGGTTCAGATGACGAGCATATTTTTGGGATATGTTTAAAACCACCCATATCCTGGGGGATACTTAAGATAATGGAAGAACACGATTTAATTTCTTGCGCTGTGGTTTAACTTCGACCAAATCAGAAAGGTGCATTTCTTAGTGGGGAAGATGATGATGGGTCATCACATCTTGGGTCTGACTGTTTTCCATAATTTCACTCAAACCCAAAACACACATGTGGGACCTAACACTTGATGAATCAAATAGACACCTCTTGGGATTCGTTGTGATGTGATATGTACCCATTTTGATTTTGGACCCATAAAAAAGAGCGAAAATACTGGCCAGCGGCCAGTGGCAGGTCATTGGATGCAACGCTGGCAATTGCTTTGAAGGATGATTTTCCTGTTTAATTTTTGCCAGACATCCTACTGTAACGTGTGTGATGTTTCATGCTGTTTCTAGCAAAAGATGTCATTGATCTTCTTTTGGGGACCAGTTCTTGGGCCATCTTGGGCCATCATATTTGCCTGCAGATATATATATATATATAACATGTGCCAAAAGACAAAACCACCATGTTTTTCTGTTGAAGTACAACCATTCCACGATAGTTATTGGTTGCTTTGTGATATCTCATTATATGAATCACATTATATCCCCACTGTATCCCAATCACGTCCCCCGATCGTATTAGACACCCCCTGTATAAATAGTTCCACATCTATGTAAATCCCCTAGGATTTACCATTGAGGGGATGTTTAATATTAGGGAACTTTAGTACTATTCAAGTGCCCTGACCCTGGAATTAGCAACACTGATTGGTGCCCCAGGTGGCTCAACCACCAAAAAAATATTGGCTGTTTTTCTACGATTCTTACACTGAGGGAATTCATCAATATATTTTGCGTTTTATACATACACACACATATGCATATTATATACATATATCATATCTATACAATAGTGATGGGACTCATACACATATGCATATATATATATATAATTATATATTTATTTTTCTGTATACACCACAATTTAGCAGTTGGAAACACTCTTCAATGCAAAATGTATCAACCCTTCACCGAAGGACCCCAAGTCTACTGGCACACCTCTGGCGGCAGCTGTAGAGCTTCGAAAGCGGCAAGGGGATCTCAGCCATTTTTTTTCGGGTTTTCCAAGAATGATGGGCTATGATTTCAGATACAGTATCTTCTGTAACTGCTGACAATATACTATACCATCTATATATATATACATATGTAATTGTATATATATATATATATATTTATTATATTATTTCATTCATTGTTGTTGAGATTTTTTTACCATCAAACAGATGCTTATCGTTTCTGTTTAGATGTTGTTGTTTTTTCTTTCTCTTTTTTTCCAATCAAAACTCTGGAGACTTACCCATGAAGCATGAAGATTTCACCACCCAACATAACATGGGGATTTCTGTTGTCGACTTTTGATGCTTATGCTATGGTATGCTACAGGTTGTTCCTATCAGCGCAGGGAGTCTAATTAAGTGCCCTTCGAGACCTTTTTGGCTGAAATAGCTTGAAGAAGCTTGATATTCATAGATCATGGTTGAGTGACAAACCTTTTTTGAGATGTACATAGCCCGAGTTATTGTCGGGGCTTACTTTCACAGGCGGTGTCCAGTTGAGGATATGGGTAGTCAAAACAACTCAAAACCTTTGCGGGAGTCCAACATTCATTCTAAAGCAGCAATTGTGATCTGCATACCAGAGTATCAGTTTGCAGGGTGAACTGACTCAAAATCACATACATAGTTCAGGTTACATTCGACAAATTATCGCACACCCTTTCTCCATCTTTCTCCCATTTGCAGATATGGCAGCAGTCCTTGATGCCCACTGCAGCCTTTATGACGTGCTGCAAGCAAAAGAGGACGCCACAGTGGATGAGATCAAAGCAGCCTTCAAGAGACGAGCGCTGGAAGTGCATCCCGACAAAGGTGGCAGTAAGGACAGATTGCTTGGGATTCCTGTCTTATGACTTGGGGATGGAAAGAGTTTCATGGGTGCTCCATGGATTGGGACATTGAACATTCTTCAACGAGGAACTGGGAACTGGGAACAAGCCTGCGTATAGAGGAAATATCGTTTAGCTTGTTTTGGGGGGGCTTAAGCAAGTAATTTGCCCCATTTGTGTCACAGAGCACCAAGGCCCATGGTTTTTTGGATATTGCCCCCAAAAATGAATATATAAATTGTAAATATTTAGCTACATTCAGCTGAAAATAGTTGACATGGTACCTGTTCATGGTCCCTTTTCAGGAGGCCTTTCACCGGGTTTACCAGGCGTTTGAAACACTTTCAGACGCCAAAGCGCGGCAGAAGTATGACCAGCTGAGGAGAATGGGACAGCTGGGGGTTTCAGTCTCCAAGGTCCCAGCAAAGGGGACGCCCAACTGCGGAGCAAAGGCTGAGTCAGCTGGTCCTTGCTTTGCCCAGTCAAAATCTGGTGGAAGCTCTGCTGGTGGCGTGCAGCAAGCTGCAGAGTACAAAGCCAGGTTGATGGCTAAAATCCATGATTTGTTGAAGCAAATGCCTCGGGATGTTCGTTATAAAGTGATCAGCAAGGAGTTTTCCGAGCAGCAGCGCGTGCTTCTGCAAGAGTGGATGGTGGATTTTGCGGAGAAAGAAAGTGTGCCAATTGATCCTCAAAGAGCTCCACAACAGGCTGCAACAAAAACAGGGCAAAAGAGGTGTAAAACGAAACCAAAGACTTCCAGGAGAACGATTTCCGGTACAAGAGGAGTAGTCTCGAATCATAGCTACTACATGGCTTCTGTTTGTTGGGATGGGATACAAATCAATAGTCGGTGCTGCGACTTGGCAACAGCTTTGGAATATTTGGTTATCCTCACATCTACCCAGCACAAGATGCAGGAAGACACGCAGTGGCAAGGTGCTTTTGCGGAGCATTTGGAGCAAACATTGAGATCTTCAGCGGAAGAGCATGGTAGGACACTGGAGGAAATCAAGGTGCGTTTCCGCACTTATCTGATTGCAGGAATGTTTATTGGACGTTACCAAGTTTACTCGCCCTTTGTGCACACTTACGAGGACTTGCAAGAACTTCGACATTGCATGGAGCCCGTTCGGGCATTCAGAAAGAATTACGGTGGCAATTTCTTTAAGAGTATTTCCCCATCCGAGTTTCAGGATTACTGGGAACAGTTCCAAGGAGTGGTGGCTGGCATGTTTCAAGTGGCAGGACGTGACACCAAGCAGCCCCTACTTCGGATTCGCACCTGGTATGATGCACGACGACATGTACGAGCCAAGTACTTGCAGCAATGGGAGAGACATTTCATGTCCAGAGAGGACAAGAAAAAACATATGCCCCTGCATATCAGATGTTTGTCGAGAAATTACAAAAAGTGGCGAAATCCTTTGGCAGATAACTTGGCAGCCTTGAAGCCTCTGCTTGTGAGATGGCAAAACATCCTCCAGAAGGAGGCCCAAGACTTGGAGAAGCAGCGCCGGCAAGTTGTGCAACAGCGAAAGAGAGAGCGCGAGGCTCAGAGAGAAGCGCGTTGGAAGAGGATGCACGATCCACATCTCACCATGGATGATATCCTTGGTCCACCCAAGCATCCGGCAGAGCCAGACAAAAAGACTTTGGTTTTTGCACTGTTCACTTGGCCCTGCTTTGCGAATCTACCCAACGCATGTCCAGCTGTTGTGGTAAACAGCATATGGGAATTGGTTTGCGGGACTTCATATTATGGAGTTTAAGTCAATAACGCAAATCACACTGAAGAACAAACACTTTTGCAGTTTTCTTACGTGGTTCTGTGCCATCGGTTCCCAGTGTAAGAAGACTGTGCCTTTTGCAAGTTGGATAGTGGCTCTTACTCTTACTCTCATGTTGCATGAAGAAGTAGCCCAGCTGTGACAACCATGCCACGATTTTGCAGAGGTATGCTGCATATAGAGGGATGGGGGTTGACGATATGAATGGATCCTAACCGTCCTAACCTTCAAAGTTTATTATCAGGGATATCATTGGTAGGGAGCTGAGGAAGTTATTCAGGATTGCATCTTGAAAGCAGTGAGAACCTAATTAGGAACAATGACAACTATGAAGGGTTATTTGTCTTGTTGTTCGTTTTCCAAATGGACGACAGGCCTACACTTTGATAGCCTCTGATGGTTATGTTGTCACTACAGTGTGTTTGTGGCAGCGCAGATTGGGACTTGCATTTGGAGACCTTTTTGGCCTTGACAGCTGGAAGAAGCTTGAAATTCATGGATCAATCATAGCCGATTATATAGATTAAACATCATTGTGCCTAGAGATGGACGTCGGGTGCAAGGCACTTCCACAGAAAAAGTGGCTTGACGCACCATGACGGACCCAGCAGTAGAGACATGGACTTCGCCCCAATAATAGTCACCTCAACGACGATCACAAGTTACGATTTGTGGCTTAGGATATTCGCTGCATTGGGTGAAGAACATTCTCTTCTCAAACCAATACTTGACAAATTTGGCATTGTTCCTAGCCGTTTGGCAGATGTCCAGATATGGCAGCGTTTTTTTCCAACGGCAGCACTCTCTATGACGTGCTGCATGCGAACGAGGACGCCACTGTGGATGAGATCAAAGCAGCCTTCAAGAGACGGGCACTGGAAGTGCATCCCGACAAAGGTGGCAGTAAGGACAGGTTGCTTGGGATTCCGGTCCTATGTCTTGCAGATGTTGAGCGGGTGATCAGCATTCTATGAATTGTTGTCTTAGCATAATTTCAGTTTGTTTCAAACTCTACCAACACGTTCCAAAACAGGTAGTTGATGGTAGTTGTTCGATTTTGCCGCGTTCCAAACAATCGATGGGATTTATAATCATTTGTGAAATCTGTAAGGACTATTGTTCACATGTGTATTCCTTGAAGCCTTGGGCAAATCCAGCTATACGGTACCAAGACCCAAAAGTTTAGGCAATGGCCCCCCAGAATGAAGTTTGATTGTTCAATATGGTGGCTTTTACTAGCTGATTTATTGGGGATTATGACAAGGCATAGTAGGGAAATCTCTTAACCAACTAATGAGATGGGGGCCCGGAGTCTTTTTTTAATTGGTCAGATGTTCACCCGTTTCCAGGAGGCCTTTCATCGGGTCTACCAGGCTTTTGTGACGCTCTCCAATGGCAAAGCGCGCCAGAAGTATGACAATCAGCTCAGGGGAAGGGGGCAGCCGGTGTCACGGTCACAAGTACAGGCAACAGCAACTTCCAACGGAGGCAGAACGACGGCCAAGACTCAGGGAGAATCTGGTGGCGCCTCTGGCAGCTCTGGTGGAGTGCAGCAGGCTGCAAGCTACAAAACGAGGTTGATGAAGAGAATCCATGCTTTGTTGACACAAATGCCTCGGGATGTCAGATTTGAAGCGATCAGCAAGGAGTTTTCACAGAAGCAGCGAGTGCTTCTGCAAAAATGGATGGCGGATTTTGCGGAAAAAGATGTGCCAGCTGACCCTCAGGAAACTGCACGACAGGCTGCCAAAAGAACAGGACCAAAAAGACGCAAAACCAAAGCAAAGACTTCCAAGAGGACAGCTTCTGGCATAAAAGGCGTTTCCTCCACAGGTGGCTACTACACGGCTGGTGTCGGTCTGGATTGGATACAAATCAATAGTCGGTGCTGCGATTTGGCAACAGCTTTGGAATATTTGGTTATCCTCACATCTACTAGGCACAAGCTGCAAGAACACACGCGGTGGCAAGGTGCTTTTGAGGAGCACCTAGAACAAACCCTGACAGCTTCAGCTGCAGAGCATGGAAGGACATTGGAGGAGCTAAAGGTGCGTTTCCGTGTCATTCTTCTTGGAGGAATGTTTATTGGAGAAAACCAAGTTTGCTCGCCCATTGTTCACAGTTTCGAAAGTTTGGGCAAGCTTCGACAATGCATGGAGCCCGTTCGGGCATTCAGAAACATTTCTGGTGGCAATTTCTTTAAGAGTATTTCCCCATCCGAGTTTCAGGATCGCTGGGAACAGTTTCAAAAGTCAGTGGCTGGCATGTTTCAAGTGGTAGGACGTGACACCAAGCAGCCCCTACTTAGGGTTCGCACCTGGTATGATGCACGCCGACATGTACGAGCCAAGTACTTGCAGCAATGGGAGAGACATTCCATGGCCTTCCACGACAAGAAAAAACACAGATTTTTGACAAACACATACAGATTTTGGAAAAGATCAAAAAAGTGGCGAAATCCTTTGGCAGATAACTTGGCAGCCTTGAAGCCTCTGCTTGTGAGATGGCAAATCGTTCTTCAGAAGGAGGCCCAAGACTTGGAGAAGCAGCGCCGGCAAGTTGTGCAACAGCGAAAGAGAGCGCGCGAGGCTCAGAGAGAAGCGCGTTGGAAGAGGATGAACGATCCAAATCTCACCATGGATGATATCCTTGGTCCACCCAAGCATCCGGCAGAGCCAGACAAAAAGACTTTGGTTTTGGGTCTTGCTGCTTGAAGCTGCAGCGGCTTTTGTGGCGTCGTGCAGTTGTTGATTGTTTCCTTTGGCCTAGCACTCTTGACCCTAAGAATTGACTGGTTAAGTTCTGGAAATGGCTTGATGCCCAGACACTTGAGCTATGTAGGACATGTCGAATTCCATCGTTGCTTCTTGATGTCATCCATCGTTGCTTCTTGATGCCATGCTGTTAAAGAAGTCGGACCTGGTTTAGTGCTACCTAGGACATAACATGTGGCGCATAACAAGTGGCAACATGAATCCAGAACGATTGATGTTCACCCTGGATCGACAAACCCTGGTTCGAAGACGCCCGAAAAGATTCCAAAACATACCCAACAAGTATTGCATTGCCAAGAGAACCAAACTTCTGGATGCGATTGTATAGCATAGACGTGTAGATTGTTTTACCAGATTCACCCATGTTTAAAGGATTTTGGTGAACCACTTGACACCGGTGTCACCTCCGTATCACTCCTGGGTGTTTGGCTTCAGGTACAAGACCTTCACAGGTTTGCTGCCCAATCTCTCTCAACATCCAAAGACGATGCTGAAGGCTGTGGAACTATCATGGGGCATCACCCAGCTGTACGGATTGGGAAGTCCCTGGCCAGAAAGTTGTGCTGACGCGTTGGCTTACATATATAGTCCTGCTCCCCGTTTTTAAACTGGGGATGATCATAATCCTCATATTAAGCACCCCCAGTCTACAGTTCAAAAATGTTCCAACTTTGCTTTCCAATCATTTTCCAATCCATTGTTTCTGTTATCCTTTGGTAATTTCACATAATTATTTAACATTATTTAATATTATTTAGCTATATGGAAAATGACAATGTTGATAGGTAAATCATCTATAATGGGCAATTTTCCATAGCTATAGTACTGTAATTTACTGATATGTTCTGGAGAGTAGATCCCATTTATATCCTCGTTTTTGTTGGTTAAATCCCATTAAATCACCATAAAAATTCCGTAAATTTCTATTTAATCCCATTAAACGTCCATCATTTATCCCACACCACGGCGCCAGGCAGAGTTAGTCGGGTTTATTGAGGAGGTCTACACTGCACGCTACAACCAGGCCTTTCGTGCTAAAGACGTGTGGATGTCATTCATGCGATAGCTGTGGAATAGTTAAGGGAATATCAATGGACAAATCATGGAAAATGTGGTGATTCTCGGCAAAATTGGCACCCAAATACCATCCTCCCAATATAGACCCTGAGAATCATCAATGTTAAGAGGAGAGTGGCAAAATTAAACCTTCAACTGATGACAGCATCTCCTCCATTTGGATCATTGGTAAAACGTTGGTTTTTGGGCCCTATGCATAAGCGGATAAACTTTGTTTTTTTTGGTCAGTTGTTTGATTTGAAATGGGGATCGATATTATAAAATATGATAAATATATACATACATAATATACACATATTCATGGATTGACATATTCATAGAGATTCGACCAACCCACAAAAGGTTACCCACCGAATAACAACTATAGGTTGTTGGCGCCCGATATGCGGCCGATAAGCCTTAATAACCTCCACTATTGGGGGTGTCAACTTTGGGGAGTTGGTTGAACCCACATAAAAAGACCATACAGTCAAGCAACATATATGATAAGTCTCTTGCCAGAGTATGTTTTCTTTCGTATCTATGATTTCACACCCTTAAAATCATCTAACCTTATCATATATATATATATATATATACGTATGTGTACATTGTATATAAACATGATTTTCCCACCAATGCTGATAAGTTTATTTCTATCAGAAAACACATAACTGGCCAAGACACGAAGCACAGTCGCCAGGATCTCATGCAAGTGCAGCAACATGCTGAGGCGGAGGCAGGGCCCTTTGTCAGGCAGCGTGATACGCCGGGTTTACCCAACTTGTCACCCGATGAAATGTCGGTTAGTTAAGAACGGGATTTCAATATTCTAATGGGTTATGATGATCCCCAATATATACCAATATGTTTGGTAGTATGCAGTAACACCGGAATCATCAACACAAAAACGCTGTTGAACACTGCTCATTTGTCATGGTCAAACGGAAACCAATGGTTTAGTTATATAAGCCGATTTTGAGAAACACCGGAGAAACACCGGAAAAACACCATTTTGGCAACCTCACCACAAGGCCGCCTCAAGTGATGATTATTACTTGTACAAGGGCTATCATCATCAAAATTACCAACAATTTAAGTTTGGTGGATCATGTGTAGTTCAACCAGACAATGTTCGTTCCAAATGATACGTATTTCCATCTCAGGGTTTATTTGAATTTCACCAAAATAAAAGGAACAGATGAAAACAAACAACTTATTACTTAGCTAAGTTGGGATATGGCAAACTTCACAAGGGAAACTGATGTTTGCAATTGGAATGACCAAGTGTGAGGCAATTGTCCTCAACAGGTCAAGTTAATGATTTGATGCTTGAGTTCGTAAAGCTAATGATGTTGGGATGTCTGACGACTTAATATCTTCAATCAGACATCCGACGAACGGGAGCACTCGCACGGTGTTCCCATGCGGCATGAGGCGATAGGAGCCAAGAAGAAGAAAAAGTCCCTGGGCGCAATCAGTGGATACAAAACATGGGGCATGGAATTGCTGAAGGTGTTTTATGTTGTTCTCATGTGTGTATTTCTGTGGTTTTTCGTTGTTCAAATGCTAGTTACTAGTTGCAGTGGGGAAGTCCAAAACACATGCAGAATATATACTGGAAGGATGTAACGCCCCAGAGTGCTTGCATTGTTGCCGGGGAAGTTGTCAGCGTATGCAAAAGCCAAGAGGCTCAGGGGCAAGGTCCTTGCTATGGACAGACAACCAGAGTTTTAGGGATTCCAACTTCTGGAGCTTGTCACCATGTTAGCTATTTAAAACCCCGCGCAGCGCACCGCCATTGTGGTTGGTGATTTCTCATGGCAACCATAGCTCAACCACACCAACCATAGATCAAACACGTTCATTGATAAATCTGATAAATCCCAGACCAACCATTTGCATCCATATAACCCTTATAATTAAACCCTATAACCATATAGGAAAACCACCATATAGGTTGCCATCCAGGGTTCCATATAGACGATATAACCACTATCATTGATGCATGGCAACCCTTTTTTTCGGACAATTGCCAACTTGCTGTGGCCAAGATGCAGCCAGCAAGTTGTACCCTGCTACTTCTTATATAGCTGGTTTTGAAATCCATCTAACATAATATTAGCGCATGTAGATACACAACGAATACAATACTCAGTTAACATCAGTTAACAGTTAACCAATTTTGAAGCCATCTTAGATAGCTCCAAAGCATCACGCTCTATGTGCCTGGGCCTTGAACTGGCAATTTCTTGAGACGAGGCTTCCCACTGATCTGACGACTTTCCCTCAGTCATCTTGGCACAAAAATGCACAGCGGCGGCATCCGTTGGGATAGAACCCCCAGAACAACGCCGCATCGCGGTAAGCCAAGGCCATAAACCATCCCTATTGGGAAGCACCAGGAAAAGATGAAATGACCTTCCAAAGTTGCGACAGTGGTTGAATGGGTTCAACAGCCCCAATAGAGGTCCTTTTCCCATTGGTTGATTGATTAATAGAGGGGTTTGTTTACGCTTTTAACAACAGGTAAATGATGATAGATGGTATACCAAACCGGCCCCTCTATTGTTTACCAAAAGGGCATCGAATCGCAAGTTTGGTCTGGGTTTCACATGTTCACGCAACCCAGTTTGGTTGGGCCGTGAATCTGCCTTTACATCAGCCAATGTAATGATTAGTTGGAGAATCTCGAAGGTACTTCCTCGTGTTCCCCTTGGTTTCCTATTCTTCCCTTGGTGGCCTTACTCTAGGCAAATCCATGTTCATGTTCGGCAACCTGTTACAGTAAGAAAGACAACATAGACAGTACAGCACGGTGGAACCCGTTGCACTTGGCAATCTGATCCACCAGAAACTTTTGTTGCACGCAACAGGAGCGGAACATGACATGACGGAATGGCTGATGAAGCAACCGGAATACAATCCAAGTTACTGAAGCGGATGTTTCCAAAGTCACTTTTCAAGAATACCATGGAAGGTCCGTTGAAATGCCCATTGAATCTCCATTTTCCACCACTCACATCCGAAAGATAGGACAAAATCCATGGGAAATCCATGGGAAATACCATGTTCATGGCATTTTCGATGGCATTTTCCAACTCCACCTGGTCACCATCCGTTGTGGATTCCCAGGTCGGTGCTAACCGTGGCGGGCAAGCGCTATGGCCTGCGGCAGATGGTGGGCCAGGTCTGTTGGAGCGTGGCCAAGAGCGTCCGGGGCCGAGACGAAATGGCTGGGGGAGAAGGATTTCATGGGGTTTTGTAACATTTGTGGTGATTTGTTAGAATTTCAATATGATTTTATAGTGGTTTGATGAGTTTTTATGGGATTGATTCTGATTTAAACTGGACTTTGTGGTGATTTCATCATATCGGATTTAAGGGGATTTTGTAGTGATGTAATATGATGTAGTAGGATTAATGGGATATTAATGCAGACAATACAAGAGATAATGTGGATTTAAGCCAAGAGATATGGGGATGATTTTAATGGTGATTTACTAATTTAATGTTAATGGTGATTTACTAATTTAATGTTACCCTAAATAACCCAGGAAATGGGGATGTACTGAGATATTAATGGGGATAATATAGTGAGGAAAAATGTAATTTTACATAGCTATGGAAATTCACGATTAAGAATAAGTAAATCATCTATAACGGACCATGTTTCATTGCTATGTGAAATTGGATACCATCCCAGAATCAAACATAGCAATGGAAAACTACCTGACCAATGGATGTTTTGGATTGCGGGGAGCAATCGACAGGATTGTGCATGATCTTGTTTGATTTATCACCCAGATTCTCCATGTATGGAATATTTACCTACAAAACTGGGGCATTTTTGAGGTAAATGTAGGTAAATATTCCAGCACCAT